TTTTTCTGAATCGCTGAGAGCACAAAGGGCCTAAGCCCTCTGCATCCCTGAGCAAGGCAAAAAAATATCCAATTAGTAAAAAATACTTTATTCGAGTAAAAATTGGAACCGATATTTAATTGTCACGATCGACAATGGGAAGGAATTAATCAAAATTCTGCAATTTTTTTTTGAGAAAGATTATTTTACCGAATCGCAGAGAGCACGAAGGGCCAAAGCCCTCTGCATCCCTGAGCAAGGCAAAAAAATATCAAATAAGAAAAAAATACTTTAGTCGAGTAAAAAAGTTGAACCGAGATTTAATTGTCACAATCGACAAAGGGAAGGAATTAATCAAATTTTGCATTTTTTTTTTTTTTTTAGAAAGATTATTTTTCCCTGTGCAAGGCAAAAAAATATCCAATTAGTAAAAAATACTTTAGTCGAGTAAAAAAGTTGAACCGAGATTTAATTGTCACAATCGACAAAGGGAAGGAATTAATCAAATTTTGCATTTTTTTTTTTTTTTAGAAAGATTATTTTTCCCTGTGCAAGGCAAAAAAATATCCAATTAGTAAAAAATACTTTAGTCGAGTAAAAAAGTGGAACCGAGATTTAATTGTCACGATCGACAAAGGGAAAGAATTAATCAAATTTTGGATTTTTTTTTTTTTAGAAAGATTATTTTTCTGAATCGCTGAGAGCACAAAGGGCCTAAGCCCTCTGCATCCCTGAGCAAGGCAAAAAAATATCCAATTAGTAAAAAATACTTTAGTCGAGTAAAAAAGTGGAACCGAGATTTAATTGTCACAATCGACAAAGGGAAGGAATTAATCAAATTTTGCATTTTTTTTTTTTTTTTAGAAAGATTATTTTTCCCTGTGCAAGGCAAAAAAATATCCAATTAGTAAAAAATACTTTAGTCGAGTAAAAAAGTTGAACCGAGATTTAATTGTCACAATCGACAAAGGGAAGGAATTAATCAAATTTTGCATTTTTTTTTTTTTTTTAGAAAGATTATTTTTCCCTGTGCAAGGCAAAAAAATATCCAATTAGTAAAAAATACTTTAGTCGAGTAAAAAAGTTGAACCGAGATTTAATTGTCACAATCGACAAAGGGAAGGAATTAATCAAATTTTGCATTTTTTTTTTTTTTTTAGAAAGATTATTTTTCCCTGTGCAAGGCAAAAAAATATCCAATTAGTAAAAAATACTTTAGTCGAGTAAAAAAGTGGAACCGAGATTTAATTGTCACGATCGACAAAGGGAAAGAATTAATCAAATTTTGGATTTTTTTTTTTTTAGAAAGATTATTTTTCTGAATCGCTGAGAGCACAAAGGGCCTAAGCCCTCTGCATCCCTGAGCAAGGCAAAAAAATATCCAATTAGTAAAAAATACTTTAGTCGAGTAAAAAAGTGGAACCGAGATTTAATTGTCACGATCGACAAAGGGAAAGAATTAATCAAATTTTGCATTTTTTTTTTTTTTAGAAAGATTATTTTTCTGAATCGCTGAGAGCACAAAGGGCCTAAGCCCTCTGCATCCCTGAGCAAGGCAAAAAAATATCAAATAAGAAAAAAATACTTTAGTCGAGTAAAAAAGTTGAACCGAGATTTAATTGTCACAATCGACAAAGGGAAGGAATTAATCAAATTTTGCATTTTTTTTTTTTTTTAGAAAGATTATTTTTCCCTGTGCAAGGCAAAAAAATATCCAATTAGTAAAAAATACTTTAGTCGAGTAAAAAAGTGGAACCGAGATTTAATTGTCACGATCGACAAAGGGAAGGAATTAATCAAATTTTGCATTTTTTTTTTTTTTTAGAAAGATTATTTTTCTGAATCGCTGAGAGCACGAAAGGCCAAAGCCCTCTGCATCCCTGAGCAAGGCAAAAAAATATCCAATTAGTAAAAAATACTTTAGTCGAGTAAAAAAGTGGAACCGAGATTTAATTGTCACGATCGACAAAGGGAAAGAATTAATCAAATTTTGCATTTTTTTTTTTTTAGAAAGATTATTTTTCTGAATCGCTGAGAGCACGAAGGGCCAAAGCCCTCTGCATCCCTTAGCAAGGCAAAAAAATATCCAATTAGTAAAAAATACTTTAGTCGAGTAAAAAAGTTGAACCGAGATTTAATTGTCACAATCGACAAAGGGAAGGAATTAATCAAATTTTGCATTTTTTTTTTTTTAGAAAGATTATTTTACTGAATCGCAGAGAGCACGAAGGGCCAAAGCCCTCTGCATCCCTTAGCAAGGCAAAAAAATATCCAATTAGTAAAAAATACTTTAGTCGAGTAAAAAAGTTGAACCGAGATTTAATTGTCACAATCGACAAAGGGAAGGAATTAATCAAATTTTGCATTTTTTTTTTTTAGAAAGATTATTTTTCTGAATCGCTGAGAGCACGAAAGGCCAAAGCCCTCTGCATCCCTGAGCAAGGCAAAAAAATATCCAATTAGTAAAAAATACTTTAGTCGAGTAAAAAAGTGGAACCGAGATTTAATTGTCACGATCGACAAAGGGAAAGAATTAATCAAATTTTGCATTTTTTTTTTTTTAGAAAGATTATTTTTCTGAATCGCTGAGAGCACAAAGGGCCTAAGCCCTCTGCATCCCTTAGCAAGGCAAAAAAATATCCAATTAGTAAAAAATACTTTAGTCGAGTAAAAAAGTGGAACCGAGATTTAATTGTCACGATCGACAAAGGGAAAGAATTAATCAAATTTTGCATTTTTTTTTTTTTAGAAAGATTATTTTTCTGAATCGCTGAGAGCACAAAGGGCCTAAGCCCTCTGCATCCCTGAGCAAGGCAAAAAAATATCCAATTAGTAAAAAATACTTTAGTCGAGTAAAAAAGTGGAACCGAGATTTAATTGTCACGATCGACAAAGGGAAAGAATTAATCAAATTTTGCATTTTTTTTTTTTTAGAAAGATTATTTTTCTGAATCGCTGAGAGCACGAAGGGCCAAAGCCCTCTGCATCCCTTAGCAAGGCAAAAAAATATCCAATTAGTAAAAAATACTTTAGTCGAGTAAAAAAGTTGAACCGAGATTTAATTGTCACAATCGACAAAGGGAAGGAATTAATCAAATTTTGCATTTTTTTTTTTTTAGAAAGATTATTTTACTGAATCGCAGAGAGCACGAAGGGCCAAAGCCCTCTGCATCCCTTAGCAAGGCAAAAAAATATCCAATTAGTAAAAAATACTTTAGTCGAGTAAAAAAGTTGAACCGAGATTTAATTGTCACAATCGACAAAGGGAAGGAATTAATCAAATTTTGCATTTTTTTTTTTTAGAAAGATTATTTTTCTGAATCGCTGAGAGCACAAAGGGCCTAAGCCCTCTGCATCCCTGAGCAAGGCAAAAAAATATCAAATAAGAAAAAAATACTTTAGTCGAGTAAAAAAGTTGAACAAAGATTTAATTGTCACAATCGACAAAGGGAAGGAATTAATCAAATTTTTTTTTTTTTTTTTTTTTTTTAGAAAGATTATTTTTCCCTGAGCAAGGCAAAAAAATATCCAATTAGTAAAAAATACTTTAGTCGAGTAAAAAAGTGGAACCGAGATTTAATTGTCACGATCGACAAAGGGAAGGAATTAATCAAATTTTGCATTTTTTTTTTTTTAGAAAGATTATTTTTCCCTGTGCAAGGCAAAAAAATATCCAATTAGTAAAAAATACTTTAGTCGAGTAAAAAAGTGGAACCGAGATTTAATTGTCACGATCGACAAAGGGAAGGAATTAATCAAATTTTGCATTTTTTTTTTTTAGAAAGATTATTTTTCTGAATCGCTGAGAGCACGAAAGGCCAAAGCCCTCTGCATCCCTGAGCAAGGCAAAAAAATATCCAATTAGTAAAAAATACTTTAGTCGAGTAAAAAAGTTGGTCCGAGATTTAATTGTCACAATCGACAAAGGGAAGGAATTAATCAAATTTTGCATTTTTTTTTTTTTAGAAAGATTATTTTTCTGAATCGCTGAGAGCACGAAAGGCCTAAGCCCTCTGCATCCCTGAGCAAGGCAAAAAAATATCCAATTAGTAAAAAATACTTTAGTCGAGTAAAAAAGTGGAACCGAGATTTAATTGTCACGATCGACAAAGGGAAGGAATTAATCAAATTTTGCATTTTTTTTTTTTTAGAAAGATTATTTTACTGAATCGCAGAGAGCACGAAGGGCCAAAGCCCTCTGCATCCCTGAGCAAGGCAAAAAAATATCAAATAAGAAAAAAATACTTTAGTCGAGTAAAAAAGTTGAACCGAGATTTAATTGTCACAATCGACAAAGGGAAGGAATTAATCAAATTTTGCATTTTTTTTTTTTTTTTAGAAAGATTATTTTTCCCTGTGCAAGGCAAAAAAATATCCAATTAGTAAAAAATACTTTAGTCGAGTAAAAAAGTGGAACCGAGATTTAATTGTCACGATCGACAAAGGGAAGGAATTAATCAAATTTTGCATTTTTTTTTTTTTAGAAAGATTATTTTACTGAATCGCAGAGAGCACGAAGGGCCAAAGCCCTCTGCATCCCTTAGCAAGGCAAAAAAATATCCAATTAGTAAAAAATACTTTAGTCGAGTAAAAAAGTTGAACCGAGATTTAATTGTCACAATCGACAAAGGGAAGGAATTAATCAAATTTTGCATTTTTTTTTTTTAGAAAGATTATTTTTCTGAATCGCTGAGAGCACGAAAGGCCAAAGCCCTCTGCATCCCTGAGCAAGGCAAAAAAATATCCAATTAGTAAAAAATACTTTAGTCGAGTAAAAAAGTGGAACCGAGATTTAATTGTCACGATCGACAATGGGAAGGAATTAATCAAAATTCAGGTTTTTACTTTTTGAGAAAGATAATTTTTTTGAATCGCCGTTCGCATCATGAAGCAAAAATATAAACAAAAAGAATTTAAAAATTCTGTGATATAAGATAGAGTTAGAAACCGAGTTAATTGTTATTGATGAAAACAAATGAACTAATTACTTTGTATTTAGCAACAGATTTTAGGGTACTTACTCCATGTTCATCATTTCCTCGACGTTTTCCATTTTCTTGATCCAAGCGGCACCTTAAAAATTTAAAAAACAACATACATCATATTTATGTTTGTAACAATGTAGATTCCTCAAAGATATAAAAAAAAATAACTGTTGCATTATTAAACAGTTAAAATAAGAACCAGCTGTTAAGTCTTTTGACCTGGCTGGACTTGTAACATTAGAATAAATAAATCTTTATCTATATATACATATAAAAAAAAATAATATCGTAAATCAAGAATCTTGCATTTTTCCATTCAATCGGGGTTTTACAGTAATAAACAAATTACATAAAATTCCGGCAAGATCAGATGGGGAGCGAAATGTGAGCAAAAATGCTCAAAATGCAGCAAATAAGCTTTGCCCTGCATTCCATGGAATATGATATTGACTTGTTTAGCCGACCGACTCTTGTGTTCTGTTCATAGAACTATCTAATGGGAGTTATGGGGACATGGAGGCTGACGTGGCAACGGCGAGTTGCGCTTGTGTTGGTGCAAAGACGCACCAACTCGATCAGGTCTCTGGGCAATGTAATTTTATTTATGGAATGAGCAGAGTACATAGTGGAAACAGCGAGACCACAGCGTTTTATGCAATAAAAGTACATAATTGTGTGTTGAAGCATATCACGGCCATTCGCACTCTCCAGAGTGCAACTTTACAGAAATTGCTTTTGGAATGTGGAATACATGGCATGATTTATGACGTATAAAAATGTGTTGTTTTCGATCTCTGAAGCTTTAGCAAAATTTTGGCCGTCTTGTCCAACAATTCCTTTTTCTTAAATATGTTCAAATAAAAATAAGTACAATAATTCAATAGAAAACATTGATTGTAACAATTTTCACGAATAAACAATAATTAAAATGAGATACAAATGTAAGGAAATTAATTAATACATTAATGGTAAATGGAAAAAGAAAAAAGTGAATGAATCAAGTCCATTCACAATTAATTTTCTGCAAAATAAGTGCATTTTTTACTAATCCGTCGGGATTTTTTTCCATTTTAATAATGTATATATTTAAAATAATTCCACCGAGCATAAACGTGTTTCGGGCACGCTTCAAACGAAATAAAAATTGATCAAGATTATTCCTGCTGGCGTGTTCATTATTTGAAGCAATTAAATTTTATGCTTTTAAATTTTCGCGTCGTTTCAAGACAAAAAGCCATGGAAGAAAACATGCAAGAGGCAACCGGAAAAACGACACCACCGCGTCGGCTATCCTTCATTGCCTGGACACGAATTGTTTTTAATTTTTATACCCATTTCATAGAAAGAATTCAAAAACGAACGAATACATTGATTTGATATGATATAAAGTAAAATCATCGCGATTTCCAGGAAGAATGGAAAGGTGAAAATAATTCTCAGCGCTTTTGGTTTTTCACCAAAATTGACAACATGGCTGCCTGGCGTGCTTCGATGCAGCATGCGAAAAACGTTGCAATTATATCCGCGAGTTAAGGCATTTCGCGCTTCCGCTTACGTAAAGCAGACTCGGAATCTAATTAATCATGAATTAAACACTTTCATTACCAGGTTTGGGGAAGCAGGCCGTGAACCAGGCGACGACAAAGACACGTATGTAGACGCGAAGGCTCCGTCAAATTCAAGGCGAGAAACGCGACGCGAACCAAGAACCAAACTTGCGAACACGCGTGTCGCGCAAGTTCTGACCTGACTGTCAGAAAATGCCAGAAAGTCGTGAAATGGCAATGCGTGCGTTTCCATGCGCATGCGCTTTCTCGCTCCTGGTGGGTGTGCCATCTCTTGGACTTTGTTAAATCTATTCAATTGAATTTGAAGTGGAAATTTTTGTGCATATAATTATAATTTATTGCGTTTTTTTTCTTGCTATACGACACGACCATGCTATTGACTTTCCGAGTGATTTAAAATATGATCTTTATGATCTTTGATCTCTGGCATCAAAAAATTAATTTTCTTCCTTCTCAAATGATGATCGCAAGTTTTGCAAAGAAATCATATTGTGTAATAATTATGTTGTTTTTGTCCGACATTGTTACAATGCATAAATGTAAATTCAATTGTTGACAAAAATTTATTTGAAAAGAAACAATTGTTGGACAAAACGGCACCACCACTGGTAAGAATTTTGAAGAAAAAAAAAATTCAGCTTTCAGCTAGAGGATCAAAAAGACCACATCCGCCCCTCAGTGAGCTTCGGTTTGAGTTTATATATAAGTTTTTGTTCTTTACCACTTGTCCAAAATTTGGATCACGTATTGGGACTTGACAATATTGGCATTCAAGTCTTTACAAAAGTTGGTAGTTTGTTTGTTCTTGAAACACAATTTATAATATATATTTCATAACCTGCACCATTGTATTTTATTTGGGTCTACAAAATTTTCTTTCCCCCCATTAAGGAAGTGAAAATCGCCTGAGCTCAAGACATATGAGCTTTGCAATTTCATGCATAGATGAATCGAATCAATGAAGTATAATTTTGATTAATTTTTGTAAGTATTCAAATAAATTGACCCAGCAAAAAGGGAGGCTCATCCAACATGACTGTGACTGTCCTGTACTCCGAATGTAAGAAGCCCATCGTCAGCTCCGACAGGGCCAGCAAAATGTTCAACTCGGAGAAAAGATGCGGTCACAAAGAGGTGATTGAAGTCTGCATTTTAACTTTAAAAAAATTATTACTTTTATTAACTTTTTGAACATAATTTAATTATGAGTTATCTTCCGAGGGATGTTGGGCAGACTTTTGCGGTGTGTCCAGAGCGCTGGGGATTCTGTCCCTGGCCGGGTAGATCAGGGCCAGCGCCTTCTTCCTCTGGATCTTCCCGCTCAGCGTTTTCGGCAGTTGGTTGACAAAAGTGACGCAGTGCAGTTGTTTGTACGCGCTGACACTCTCTGCGCAAAAGAGATTATTTACGAGTTTCAATCTTCGTAATTTAATAATTAAAAAAGGTGGAAGGGGCCAGTGAGGTCATGTTTAAGTAAGGCAGCTCTACGAATATTAAAAGCTATCCAACAAATACAACTTTTCCATAAGATTCAAGTCATAGAAGTGTAAAATATTGAATATTATCAAATTTTCTGCTCCGAAATAAGAATGAAATGAAATTATTTTCATATTAGTTCAGGAATAATTGAACTCTCATTGATTCTTAAAAGGTCATTTTTGCTTTTTGTATCAACAACGAACGCTGACCTGAGACGGCTTGCATGACCTTGGCCTCGGTCAGGTCGCTGTGGTCCTGCCTGACGACGAGGGCGTGCGGCGTCTCACCGTGGCTGGGGTGCGGGACGCCGACCACGGCCACGTCCAGCACCCCCGCCACCCTGGCAACGACGCCCTCGAGCTCGGCGGGCGAAATCTGGTGCGAGTTGAACTTGATGACGTCTTTGATTCGGTCGACCACGAAGAAGTAGCCTTCGGGGTCGAAGAAGCACAGGTCGCCGGTGCGCAGCCAGCCGTCGCGGAAGGCCTCGGCGCTGGCCGCAGGGTTGTTCACGTAGCCCAGCATCACCGAGTCCGACTTGACCAGCAGCTCTCCGGTTTGGTTTGCCGAGAGGCGTTCGCCGCTCGACGGATCCACCACCTGCGGAAATTCTTATTTAAATCAAAAATCTTTTGGCAAATTTCAATCCAAAGCAAAGGTTGTGAATTTCTTTACAAATAAAATCATGTAAAATTTGGATTGAATCATAAAAAAAATAAATTAATTTAAACACATATCAGATGAGTATGAATTTGTGATAATTGGCAAAATGAGCAAAATAAATGTATTTTTTTTTACCTTATTTGTGATTTTTTTTTAAATTCTAAAAAATAGAGGCGCTCTGAAATTTAAATGTCGTTCCTACATGTTAAGGACTATTTTTGCTACTTTTTTTGTACCTGTGACCTCTAGAAAGTGACCTTGACCTTGGAGTAATTTGACTCCTCAAGATTGAAGACTGAATAGAAGGTCATAAGAAAATATGTGGTTTCAGCTGCATTTCTGTATCTCAAACAGAACCAGAGATATTCAGATTATAATTTGAAACTTCAGTTTCCGTAAAAGTTTTTCACTTTTCCAAGTATTTTTCCAGACCTGATTTTTTTTATAGCAATTCCACGATCTGTGCTTTGGCTTGAAAGGTGTCATAAAGGTGAGAATTTAATGCTTCAATAACCTTGCAGGAAAATCCTCTGCAGACCTTTCCCGGCGAGCCAGGTTTGTCCGCGCGACTTTCGCCGGCCAAAACGGTGAAGGTGGTTTCGGTGAGGCCGTACGAGTGGCACATTTGCGGTCTCAGCGGCAGGTTGTCGGCCACTCTGCGTTGCCACTCGGCCTTGACGTGGCTGGCGCCGGTCAGGATCTTGGTGACCTGGGTCATGGTCCGCTTGGCCTCTTGGATGTTGTCGCAGATCATTTTCAAGATCGGCGGCACCACGAACAAAGTGTCCACCTGAGCCACAAAAAAGGTGTCTGCAGACCGGCTTAAAGCAAGGAATGAATTTACCTTGTGACGCGAAGCTGCGAAAAAGTAATTCTTCAAGTTGAACTTCCTCATGAGGACAAGCAGGGCGCCCTCCTTGAGGCACATGAGCATCAAAACCAGTCCGAACGCGTGACACAACGGCAGCACGCACAGCGCCCTCGACCCTTTCTCCACAAAAGTTGAGCTGCAAAATTTTACAAATTACATTATTTTTCAAAACTTGAACCATTTCGGCTTCAAACTACATTAATTGATCCATATTTATTTAGCCAAAATCTCAGCTGTCTCGGGCCTCCTCCGTGCGAAATGGGCACGGAGAACGCTATTTTGTACAAAAACTTAAAAATTTATTGTCGACTTATAAAATGAATTTGTAATTTTGAGCATTTTTGAAAATGTGAAAAAATTATTTAACTACAAAAATTATAAGTCCGTGCTTTTCTTAAAAGTCATAATAAAGTTTTTACTTTTTCATTTTACATTTTATGAGAAAAATGTATCTCTGCATATTCTAAAAAATTTCACAGCGCTGAGGAAAATTATGAGTTTTCATTTATATCATTGCATTGAGAGGTAAATTTAATAAGGTTTTTTAAAATAAAAAACAAATTTTTCAAAGGTGAACCGTTTTTCCAGCGGCGCCACTGAAGTTGGAAAATTGGAAGCCGCTGCCTGCCTCAATTTGATCATCGTTGCAGTTTTCAAATTGAACACGATTTCGCTCCTCGCCGACTAGGCTCAAATTTAGTATCGCCAGGAGCCTCAAATTGATACAAATTTTTCTCGGTGGATTTAGAAGAAAATAATAAGTTAGCAAAATGAAATTATCTAACAAGTTTTGATTGAAACATTTTCCTCTAAAAAATTATTTCCAGAAGAGCTAAAAGATCGCGATCTACACAAAAACGAAAAAAAAATTACCTTTGTTCGAACAATTAAATTTTTTGGCGCCAAAAGTTTTCCGATTTATGCAAAATTGGTACGGATTTGAAAGCTTATTAAATTTACCATCGATTACCATTGGTCCCATTTTTCCACAAGACATTGAAAAATTACTACAAAAAATCAAAATACTTTCAAAGGTACTCGGAAATCAGAGAATTAAATTTTTCTCATTTTTTCAAGCCCAGTGATTTCAACCTGATTTTTTTACTAAGAATATATATATATTTGACCTGTCCTGGAGGACGGCGATGAGGTTGCGGTGGGAAAGGGCGACGCCCTTGGGCAGGCCGGTGGAGCCGCTGGAAGAGAGGATGAGGGCGACGTCGTCCAAGTTCGGCTGCTCCTCGCTGCGATCCTCGCCAATTTCGTATTCGGCCTGATCGGCGGCTTGCAGGGCGTTGCTCAGGTCGGTGCTCATGCCCTTGATGACCACACCGGCCATCCACACGGCCACTTGCGGTTCGTCCTCGATCAGAAAGCTGCTCGCGGTCACTTCCTGCATTTGCTTCAGTTCAGCTGAGATCAAAATTTTAATAATTTGTAATAATATTGTCCAAAAATTTCTGTACTAATTCTTTGTTAACATTTATTATTATTGTATAGTTTATAAATACAATTAAAAGTAAAATATCATAAAAAATTAGGAAAAATATAAAAAAGATTTAATTAAAAGTTTAATTATTCTTTGATTTTTTTCCTTAATTATTGGGAACCTACCCTGCTTGCATTCAGGGTTGAGCAGGGCGCACGCGACGCCGTTCTTCCAGAAGGCGAGCAGCATGGGGGCGACAAAGAGGGGGTTGGCGATTTTCAAAACGACGATCCTGTTGGAGGCGCCGCCGAACTCCATGTGCTTGCGGATGACCTGGCCAATGGAACGCACCTTGCTCTCGAGCGTGCTGAAGAGTTCGACCGAGCGGTGGTCGTCGCCGCTCAGCTGAAAACCGAGAGTTTGATCAACAAAGTCAGAGGGGCGGATTAACGGACAAACCTGGGCGCCGAGGTTGCCGAAAGTGGCCAATTTGGGGGCCAAGAGGGCCCACACGTTCGTCACCGCGTCCATTTTCGCACTGACAGACAACATGCTTGTGGTGGAGGTGGAATGAATGAAAGACTGGGAGGAATTTATACAGGAATTGAGAGATGTATTTTGTCCTCTAAAATATCCGAAAAACGTGTGGCTCGTTACAAATAAGCCGACGAGTTCCTCAAATATTACACATTGCAAATAAATATAACAGCGCGCGTGATTTTCTTACATATCATTCGACTTTTGTTTTCTTTTTTCATTAATAAAATATAATAATAATAATAATTATCGCCACTAATGATTAAATACATGTATATATCATATAGGAGGAGAGAAGCGTTGCGTTAATTACTTAACTAAAAGGTTTAATATTATAATTAGATTAATTATACACATTCGCATTCAGTTTTAAAGTAATAATTAAGTCGGCTGCGTCATTCCACTAAACTCTCTTCATTTTTGCAGCTAGCACTCAAAAGTACATAGTTTTGGTTTCGTCAAGGAAGGCACTAGAAATCAAAAGGGTTTAAAAACAAATTAACCTAGAAAAAAAGAGGCCAGCACCAAATCGGACCGATCAGGAACATGCAATTTTTCGATTAGTTACGAAAGAAATTGGCATATTAACAATTTATAATAATTGCAGGTGGATTGGTTGATTAACATTCAGATTATAATTATTATATTTCTCACATCGTTAGCTGCTCTGATCAGTAATTGTGCTTCCCAATCACATATTCGCAATAACCATTCTTTGAAAATGCAATATTGGTGCATGATTAATTGGAAGGGGTGCGAAAGCTTCAAAATCCATCGAAAATTCTAATTTGTATGGGAAGGTACATTATTTATATAATAAACGCATCAACTATTGCTACGGTGGTGTAACAATGTTATTGTCAAAGGCTATATATATATAAAGTCGTTAGCAAAATATCGCATTATTTCCAGTGAGCATTTTAATTTTTTTTTATTATTATTCGCGCCAGGCTCAACAAGTCCTGCCTGGGTTCGTTGAAATTTTCAATTTCTTTTGAGCAACTGCTTCAGTTGCGATAACAAAATTTTTCCACACCAAACAAAATATTGCTGTTTTTGCACTAAAAGCTTCACCTAAAATTTGAGGTCGTGACGTTATTGGAAAAGCTCGTTACAATGGATTTGCAGCACTAGCAAAAGCTTCTTCGTAATCCTGAGTAGAGGTTGGAGTTGGTTAGTAATTTTCTCAATCATTCAGACTAAAAGCAAGTTCAAGGAAATGAGAGTGGTGCTGAGTTTAAAATCAAATTCTTTAAAGTAAATATACAAAGCTTAAAAATGGGTTGCTCTCAACTGAAAGGACACCAGAGAAGTTGGGATTTAAAAAAAAAATGTACAAAAACAAAAAAGGGAAGTTTTAAAACGAAGCCCCGAAATCCTTAAAACGAAATGTTACAAATCATATAAAATTAATATTTATAAATTCAATCTAATGTACAGACGACAAAAAAAGGAGGGGAACAAGAGTTGAAACGAATGGCAACTTAGTTAACAATGAGTTTGTGTGTCTGTCTCTCTTGAATTAATTCATTTTGCCGAAATTGGCCGAGGCGTTGGCCGGCAGCGTGGCTGATTTGATGTGAGCGAATTTCAGGGAGTTGTTGGAGCGCGTCGAGTCCCTGGTGGGGCGAGACAAAGGGTTTGTTACCAGGACTAGTGCAACCTGCTTTTGGTTATTAACCTGGGCGACAGCTTGGCCGGGTCGGCCGTGCCGCTGTTGGCCTTGTAGCCGCACTTCTGGATCTTCTTGCTCAGCCGCGTCACCCACTGCTTCTGGTCCTCGTTGCTCGACGCCAGCACGAGCAACTCCTTGGCCGAGTTCGGGTCGTAGTGCACCTTGCACGGCGCCACCCCCTCGCCCTTGTGCTCGATGTGCTCCTTGTGCACCTTGATTCGACAACCTGAAGTTCAAAAATAATTAAAATCACCAGAGTGAAAAAGTTCACTAATTCCAAATTCAAGAAGGATGGAACCTCCTGAAGAAAGCAACATTATCCACAAATCAACGTTAAATTAAAATTGATTTATTTCTACCAAAAAACAACATGATAGTTCATATTTTGATACAAAATTTTGATTTAGAATTACTATTTTTACAATTAAATTTCTGAAAAGTTAAAAATAGGAAAATGAGTCTTTTCTCATCATATAAGAATCAATTAAATTTAATTATGTTCCGTTGAAAATGAAGAACTTGAGAAATATCTATACATATTCGAGAACTTTGAGACTTACGTCTGCACTCGAGGGCCGGAGGAGGTCGGAACATGTGCCACAAAGGCTTGGGGCAGACTTCGCAGTTGGTTGGCATGTGGAATGAGATCTGCAGGAACTCATGGCCCTTGAGAGTGACCGTGCCGGGTTTGTCGTCGCTGCGCATCTCGTGCTGCGTCTGCGACAAAGTGCCCGAGCCTCCGGTGCCGTCGTCCGGTCTCCGCACTTCCCCCTCCCCAGCGTACAGCAACTGCAATTTCCAATTTAGCCAAAAGCCCGCAAAAAATAAAAGTCAACTTGGACAGACCTGGAAGATTCGCGGGATATCTTTGGCATCAGCACGGATGACGTCACCCTGGGTAACTGGACGCACGTGGAATACTTTGCTGCAACGCAAAATGTAAAGGTGAATTTTAAAAATTTATTTTGTCAAGTATTTACTTTAGATCTAAAATTAACACTGGGTCGGCGTTTTGCTTTTCATTTTCCGAGTTGTAGAAAATGATCTTCTTGGAGGAAACGACGATGTACTGCTTTTTCCAGCCGTGCCTCCTGATGTTTTGCTTGTTAGGTACAGAGAGCCATCCTTCCAAACGAGATTCTGCACAAAATATTTGTAGAATAATTAACTTTCCAAATTAAAATTGCATTTCTTTTTTCTTTTCACCCTTTTAGCTCATGGTCAACTGATTATAACAATACTTGGCAGGTTGATTGCTTTTATTTTATTGTGTTTACAAATGGTTTAGATGGATTTTGAAAAGTGCTCAAAATTGCCTATTTTACAGGGACTCAAAGTTTGGCATTTTTTTTTAAAGTAATTTTTAAAATTGAAAATATCACAGCCCCTGTTAAAGATACCGCAAATGATCCTGTTTTCAAAGTTGTCACGATGTAATGTCATAATTTTTTGATATGTTGTGAAAAACTAAATTAGGCAACTTTTGTCTATTTTCAAACTTAAAAAAAATTCCTTCCTAGGTACTTTGGATGATTAATTAAATATTCAGGTTCCAAAACGTGACCTTCAACCTTGAACTACAGCTTCGGTTAATATAGCAAAGTTGTAGGTCATCTCATTTCCAACATACTTGGTTACAATACTTTTTAGCGTATTTTTTTAAAAGAAGCCGAGATATTTTCAATTTTCAAAATCACCTTAAAAAAAGCCAAACTTTCAGCCCGTGTTGAAATTTTGACAATTATTAAAAATCCTTTTTTAATTAAAAAGCAACCAGTCAAGATAAAATAAAAACAGCCAAATAAATCCCACCTTGCAAGGCGTCTTCGTTGTCGTTTTCAGCACCACTGCTGAGCGAAGCAGTCTCGCTGGAGAGAGAGGCGATTTTGAGCTGGAGTTGTTCGATTTCTGAGTCCTTGCTGGCCGCCTCCATCTGCAGCCGCAGCTTCAGGTTGTGGTCCTCCTGAGCCTGCGCCTGAAGCTCCTGCAGTTCGCGCTGGTGCTTCATCGCCATCTGACTGTACTTTTCGCGCTCCTGCAATTCAGACCTTTAGCATGTTTTTCCTGCAAGAGTGAAATTTCAGTGCCTGGGTGAGTTCCTGCTGCAGTTTGCGGCACTCCTTCTCCTTGCGCCGAAGGTCTCCCGACGACACCTTGTTTTTGCCTCTGCCGTCCTTGCTGAGCAGGTCCTTGCGGTTCATGATCTCAGCCAGTTTGTTCACAGCCTGGGTTTTCAGCAGTTGCTCTTGCTTCAGTTGGTTCCGCAATCGTTCAAGTTCCTCCTTCAGACTCACAGATCGCGCCAGGTCTGAAATCAAGACAAGTCAGAATTTTCAACCGTTTGAAACAACAACAAACTCACCATCCTGCATGGATTTTATTTGGCTTCCGAAATTCTCCTTTTCCTTCTCCATCTGCTTTTTCAACTCAGTCTCCTTCTCCACCATCTTTAAAAAAAAAATTTATTTGGGAATTAAATTTTTCGTAAATAAATTACCGCATTAATCGTTGCATCTCTGCTCGCAATCTCAGTTCTGTGTCTTGCGAGCAGGTCTTTTAGTTCCAACTCTTTCATGGTTTTGTCTTTCTCGAGGTCAGCGACCGTTTCCTCGGCAATGGACCTTGCCAGAGCTTCGGCGTCCGCCCTGGCCAGGGTCAACTGCAGCTGGTGGGCCATGCTGTTCCGCTCCTCCTCCAGTTGCAACGTGTTCCTGCTGCGGTCTTCGAGTTCCTCCCTCAGTTCTTGAGTCTGCGTTTTGTACAGTGTCTGAAAATAAATCAACCGCAATTCGAATAGAAAAAAAAATGAAATTAAAAATTGATATTACGGAAAAGTGCTGTTCGGCCTCGAGCTGCTCCTGCAGCTCCTTCATGTGCGAGTCGTCCATCTGCCGGGCCGAGTTGACCCGGTCGAGCTGGTCCTCTGACCTGCGCAGACACTCCTTGAGGTCGGTGACCTCGTGGGAGAGTTGCGTCTCCCTGGCCTTGAGAGTGGCGACCTCGGTGCCGAGCACGCTGATTTCCGACTGCAGCCCCAGTTTCTTGGTCTGCTCGGCCTCGAGCTGGCCGTGCAGGGCGCGCACCTTCTCCCCGTCCTGCCTGTGCTCGCCTTCCAACTTCTGCAGCCGCTGCTGGATTTGCCTGTAGTCGACGGACAGCATCGAAATCTGCCGCTCCTTCTCCTGCGCTGACATGTCCGACTTTTGCCTCGCCACCTTCTCCTCGTTCAGCTTGGTTTGCAGGGCTGAAATGCACACTTAGTAAGATTGGTTTACGACAAATGGAGGCGAAGAGACCTTTCACCACTTCCAGGTTGGCCTCCTCTTTGCTCACTAGCCGCGTCCGCTCCGTCTCTTCGTGTGAGCGGACCTCCTGCTGGTAACGGTTTTGCGCCGCTTTCAGTTCCAGCTCGAGCGAGGCGCATTCCTTCTCAAGAGTGGAAACTTTTTCCACCAAAGATTGGCAGTCCTCGTGTAAATGCAGTTCCCTCTGTTTTGTGCTTTCCAATTCAGACAGGGTGCACTGAAGACGGCCTGCAAGTTTTTCAAATTGATTTTTAATTATTTAGGTCCACTCAAGTTTGAAGCCAAAACAAAAAGAGGAATTTATTATTCAATCATTTTCCATCAGAATATTCTGCCCAAATCTTTAATTGAATTTTTCGGATATTCATATTTCTTAATTGGTTTGAAACTTAGATTCTAATTAACATGAACAAGTTTTCTTTGTGGTTCTGGAAAGACAGAAAAGTATGGCCTAAAATAAATTGATCAGAATTTTTATCAATAATTCGAAATAATTATAGAATTTTTCATTATCTACTAAAATGAATTTTTGGCCCACTCTTGCTTTACAAGAAAATGTTTAGAACAAAATGTCTAAAGACAATCAGAATAAAAATGGCCATTTAAAATCAATGCTGAAAGCTAAAGTTCCATGAAATTCAATTTCAGGTTCTAGCAGAAGCAATTTTAGGACTTTTCAGCTTCTCATTACATGTACTGTGTCTGGATGGAAAAATTCAGCTTACATATTTTATCTCATTTGACTATTGAACCACAGTTCTTACTTTCAAGCTCGTGCTGCATTCCCGACGCTTGAGATCTGGAGCTCCTCTCGAGTTGCAGTTGACTCTGGAGGTGCGAGACTTCCTGCTTCAGTCGGTCCCTCTGCGTTTGCAGATTGGACACATTCACCTGCAACTCCCGCTGAATTTGCTCCGCGGCAGATCTGTTCAGGAAAATCATTTAAAAACTAAAATTCGATCGAGATCCGAAATTTACCTGGCATTCGTCAAGTCTGTGATCTGCTTTCTCAGTCGGTTTGCAAGATCATTCTCGGATTTGAGTTTGTCATTGAGCTCGGAAATCTGCTTCTCGAGGGACGTGGCCCTCTCGTGGGCGCCCACGTCTCGGCTCCTTTTGCTCAGCTCGTCGTCCAGCCGGTGCTGCAGCCGCTGCAGATTCGCCTCCAGACTCCTTTTGTTCTCCTGCTCGGTTTCCGCTTTTCTGTGCGCCTCCTTCAGGTCGTGCTTCAAGATGGTGACTGTTTTCTCAAAGGTGGTGATTTCCGTCCGCAGGTCCGCCTCCCGCTTCTCCATTTCCTCCAGCTTTGCTCTCAGCGACTTTTGCTTGGCTTTCAACTCCTCCTGGGCGTGCTTCTCATTGACCAGTTGCTGCTCCAGTACTTCCGAACTCGCACTCTCGCTTCGGCTGATCTGCAATCAGAGTTTTAAAATTACAAAACTTTTACAAGTATTTGGATTATTTAAAAATTTGGTTGCAGGCAAAAGTAATTTGAATATTAATAAAAACCACCATGCAATATTTTGAAAATCTGACTTACTCCATCATACTGATAGCCATGAGGAAAAAATTCAGTTAAAATTAATTGAGTTTTTAAAAAAAAAAAATGTGCAGAATTTGCATGTTTTCTTACCATGTCCAAGCAGTCCGAGTTTAACTTTGAAGATTTCGTGAGAAGCCTGTGAAAAGGTTTTGTTACACAAGTCATTTGATAACGGGCAGTTTATTACTGGTAGTCCTTTGAGTAAGTGAATCCAACAAATGGCAAATGATTTCCAGCGAATGCTTTCGGCGTAGGAAAGTTTTCCTCAGGACTTTCGTCTTTTTCAACGTCATCAAAATTACTGGTGTCTTCGTCGCCGTTCAGTTCTGGCACCACAGGAGGAACGCAATCCCGGATGGACTCAAAAGTCCACTGGTCATTTTTGAAGAAGGGGTGCGTTTGGATCTCGTCGATTCCAATTCGGCCCAAGCGCACATTTCTACAATCATATTTACAATCAATTTAATTTAAGTTAAAAAGGATGAATTGTTTCAAAAAGAGTTAAAACTTAAATGATAATTTTAAGTGAGGAATTAACTATTTACAAATAATTTCCCAAAATTTTGGGTATCATTGAAGTAATGCACTTAAAAAAAAGAATTCAAAATTAAATTTAAGAATTTAATAGACTTGCATTGATTACTTTTAACTTAAGAACTCAAATTAAACTGAGGAATTGATAGATTAAAGCAGTATTTTTTAAACTAAATTAAAAATTTCAAGTGACCTGTCAGTCAAGAATCCGCATATGAGACTCTTGGCACTGGGACTGATGCTGACGTCCGGAGGGAAGTGCAGCGAGTTCCGGTGGTCCATGATGCGTCCGTACGTGCCTGCCAAGCTCTCGGCATAGAAGGGCGTGTCGCCGACCAGCATTTCATACAGGAACACCCCCACGGACCACCAGTCACACTCGCGGCCGTACTCGCCCTCGCCACCCTGCGACTGAAGAACTTCGGGCGAAATGTAGTCGGGCGTTCCGACGGCCGTGTCGGACCGAATCAAGCCATCCTGGAATTTAAATTTTATTACAAAAAAATTGATAAGAAAATCAAGATGAGTAGGATTTTGCTCAAGATTAGTTTTGAATTTTAAGAGAATTTTGAAGAGCAAATAAATCAATAAATACATTAGAATATACAAGCTAAATCTTCAATAATTTAACAATTAGGTGTTAAAAATTCATGGAATTATCAATTATCAAAAAAAAAAAAAAAATACATAATAAAAAAATAAAGTTAGACCTAAAATTTTAGAAATTCTACACTTCAGGCAATTTTAAAAATCATCCACCAGAAGCAGAATTTTATGAGCTTAATGTATTTTGCATATAGTGAAAAAAAAATAAAACCTTTTATTTTTGTTAAAAAATTTCTCAGAAACATTGAATTTGCAATTTAGTATCTTTGGCCTTAACAAAAAATGGTCAGCAGAAAATTTGTTAAAAATAAAAATTTCCTCTGTAAAAGTGAACCCACTTAAAAAATAATAGAAGCAAAGATATAATTGTAATTTTGACTCTTTTAAAAACCCAGAGTATAAAAAGTTCTAAATTTTTGTCGGCAACATACTTTAAATTCAGAATGGCATTGTGAACCAAACAATTAGGCCAATTCAATCATATTCAAACAGTCCCAGAACTGATGAATTGCAGAAAATTCTATTCTTTTAAGAGATAGATCTAGTTAATGAAAAAAAGTTTAGCATAGGAATAATTTTTTTCTAAAATCGTTGCTTTTATCTTAAATTCAAATTAAATATAAATCAAAAGGCAATAAGATAGGTTCGTATTTAGAAAATTTGAAAAAAAATTGATAACATAAGAAACTAGTTTGAATATTTCTAAAAAGATGAATTATTTTCAAACTTACAGAACCCATTTTCATGCAGGTGCCGAAATCAGCCAACTTGAGGTGGCCGTGTCTGTCTAGTAACATGTTGTCGGGTTTGACGTCTCGGTGGACAAAACCCATGGAATGAATGGCGTCCAAGGCCAGCACGACCTCGGCACAGTAAAATTGAGCCCACTTTTCTGGCACATCGTAGTTGGACATTAAATTGACCAAATCACCGCCTTAAAAAACATTTTAATTAAATTAAATTCGTAAAACTTGACATACCAGGCATGTAGTCCATGACCATGTAAAGGTACTTCTCGTCCTGGAAGGCAAAGTGAAGCTGGACAATCCACTCGGAATTGGCGTAGGCCATGATGTCTCTCTCCTCCCAGAAAAACGCCGAGTCCGAACGTTTAATCTGGAACAATGCGACTGAGTCAGCAAGGAATAGATAAAATCTCAGTGCGAACCATTTCGAATTTGCTGAGCAGTTTCATGGCGTAAACTTGTTTTGTGGTTTTCTGCCGGACGAGTTGGACCTCGCCGAAGGCGCCCCTGCCGATCACCTTGATGAGCTGGAAGTCCTCGGGCTTCATCCGCATCCCCGAGATGTCCCTCGAGACCCGATCGTCTAAAATTTCAGAGCAGAGATTTTAGTTTTGGGGGGCGAGGAAGGGGGTTGAAGCAAGAGGGAAACAATGACTCACATCTGTTGAGGAAGGCTTCGACATTTTTTTGTCTCCTGACCGCCGGGTGGTCACAATCTGACACTAGGGCTTGCACAGTGTCCTAAAAGGGGCAACATTTAACACAGGTCTGAGATCTACCTCTCCATGCAATCACACCAAGACCGAGTCTTGGACTAATATAAAATTATTTTTGAAGGTATGAAACGAATTTGATATTTGAATTGTAAGACTCGGTTTGCAGTTTCTGTACAAATCATGTATGTACAAGAAAAGTGTTGGTGTTTGTTTTGACGCACCAGAAGACAGTCGATGTTGGTCACGCTCCTCGGGTCGGTGATTTTCTCCTCCAGGTTGCGGAGCCTCCGACGCCTGTCCTCGTCCACGATAGCCTCCATTCTGCAACGAGACAAACGTCAAATAACACTCGTAACGAGACACACACGTAACCGCAAATCGAATCACAGCTCTCAAGGCGTGCGTTGTTTCGAGTTGAAAAAACAAGTTCGCAGGACTCGAAAGAAGCGCCGGACCAGGAAGTGTCCGGATGTGTAAACAAACGCGCGGCCGAAAAAGCGAAAGTCATCGCAAAAATGCAAACAACGCGCGGTGAGTCACGCGTGGCGCGGCGATTGACGGATTCGCCCCCGTGCCGACCCCCGACCACCCCCTCGGCCGAATTCCGGGTCTCGGACGCGGTTTCGAGGACGGCCGCGTCCGAAATCCGGGGGAACAAGTGTCACCGCGGAAAGAGGTGTGTTCGTTCGAGGCGTGTTTGGGTCGGACGGCTTCGGGTGTCCGGGCCGCGTCCCGGCGCCGTCCCGACGCCCAACGCACGCCTCGGACGCTGGCCGATTGATTCGCGGACACTTACGTTGTTCCGGGGCGAAAACGGGGGTTGTTCGCCGATTAATTCACACCCGCCTGCTCCGACATGGATCCTCCGCTGTGTACCAGTGTAAATAATTCCTTTTTTCGCCGCACCTCAACCGCCGCTGACAGCTGCTCCTCCCACCACCTTGGTAAAAAGCGCGCCAAAACTCACTGCTATTTGAAACTTTTTTCTATGCCAAAGGAATTTCAAGATTTATGAATATAATCACAAGAATTTTAGTGAAAACAGCTTGGAAATCTTAGATAATAATACTTAAAAAACTTTCTATTAAATATCTGAACAAATTTTCAACAATTTGTTATAATTCACATTATTTTATTTTAATTCATTCGCAGATTTTGATCAGATTTCACACAAGTGTCATGTCCACTTCGTCCAAGCTGACGAACTGGATTGAGTCTGAGTGGACGACGGCGAACACCAGCGGCACCGTCGCCGTTTCCTCGGCCAGCTGCGTCATTTCCCCCTCGGTGGGAACTTCCTCTCGATGGCCCAGAATGACCAAGTGACACTCGGGCGGGGGAGGCGCCGACTTTCGGAAATTGGTGGACGGAGGGAAGACGTTGTACTTGATGACTAGCCGCTGCAGGTTGTGTCCACCACATGAAGTTGCAGCGTCCGGGAAAATTTGCAGCGCGGCCAAAACTTGTTGGTAGTTTTTGCAGTCCTCGGGCAGCAGGACCGAGTGCTCGGTGAACTTTGGCCGCTCCTCTTCGGGCTCCAGGTTGATCGTCTCGAACGTTTTCAGCTGTGCCCAGTTCTTGGAAGTGTCTTCCTTCCTCCTGCAAGGGGTGGGCGGGTTGTGGTATTCCTCGGGTTCCTTTCGCCCTCTCCAGGTCGGTCTGTGGAAGGTCGGCCTTTGGAAGCTTTGTCTGCACTGGAAGGACTGGACGGAGGTGCGGAACTGCGGGCCCGCCGAGTGTCCGCCCTGGAAGTAGAAGAAGAAGCCGGTGGCGCAGAAGTTGTTGGGCTGCTGCGGCCTGGGCGGACAGTTGAAGATCGGTCGCGGTGGTTGGATGTTCTGCAAATTGAGAAGGTAGTTCTTGCGCGAGGGACGCGCCCCCGGGGGCAGCAGGTGGGCGGGGGCGGCCTGGACGAACACCTGGCTTCGTCCCTGGGCCCGCGGCACGTAGACGTCAAACGCCTTGAACCTGTCCTCCTCGTCCAGGTCGATGACCTCGACCGTTGGCGGTTTGGCCGAGGTCAGGGGCGGAGGCTCGGCCGTTTTCTGCGTGGGTGTTGGCTTTTGGTGGGGGAGGACGATCCAGCCCTCCGAGCGCAGCTTGGAGTAGACTTTGTAGTCCGTCCCGGACAGATTTTGGCCCAGGAGGAGGGTGTGGGCCTGCTGGACGCTGAGGGCCACGCCCCCGAACCGCAGCTCCAGCAGGTTGGCGTCGAGCAGGTAAAGGGCCTCCTCAGGTCGCAGCCACACGTGTTTGTCCCTTTCGAAGCCGAAGGTGCTCCAGAGCTTGCCCTGCTTCTTGGTGACCCTGGCCAGGGCCTTTTCGGGCACCCACTCGGCCGTCGAGCGCAGGCACTTCTTCTCCTTGCGCTGCAAGGTGAGGAGGGCGCGCTGCTGCAGCCGGCTGCGGTTGATTTCCTCTTCTTCCAACCACGAGCCGTCGGGGTTGCTCCGTTTTTGGCCCCTCTTCAGTGAAGCGGCTCGACTTGGCCCAAATCCGGCCAGTTGCCTTTTAGCCATGATGGACGTTGTTTATTTTTTAGAATTGGTTGCTACAGAAAATCTTTCCCTTCACCAATCCATAACAGTTCTGTAAAGTGAAAAATTATAATTATTACTATTTTATACAATGCATGAAATATAACAGAATCTCTTTGTCCTTACGCTCAATAAAGGTGTTTGTAGAAAACGGAGAAAGCCTAGCAAATAATTTGGGCTACTTCATGAATCTGGAGTTGGGCAGAACAAAAATAATCAAGGACTAAAATCAGCAACGTCAAAATCTTATGACTTGCTTTGTGTTGTTTGTTTATCTTGCTCGCAATTGGTCCGTATAAAGAAGGTAGTAGAAGAGGAAGATAAGATCTCTTGAAACAATTCGAGCAAAAATGCTAGATGTTCGCATAATTTCAAACAATGTTCACTTAAAAAGAAGCCTATACCAGAATATATGAGAATTTTAAGATATAGGTACCTATTTTAAAGTGGCAAAAATATTGCAGTTATTCGTCAACACCAACGCTCCCGCTTTAAACCCCTTTGCCCATCCCACTTTTGTGCGGAAAGTAAAGAAACCCAAACAAACACACCAAGAAGGAACTGAAATCTCTGTTTTCTCCTGACCTTTGTGCCTTTTTTGCTGACCCTGCCAGTAAAATTGTTGGCTAAATGTGATCGGATAAGGATAAAAGGTATTTCAGCTAAATTTTGTTATGTAGTTGCTCGTGTTTCCTGTAGCACGAACGTTGTCATATGTCATAATTGATGTATATGTATTAATATCTATTCTGCGGTGTGAGAGTGAGCGAGCGAAGGAAGTGGTTAAGGATATTTTTTATTAATTCGTTTACCTAGGGATGGAAATTTACGGTAGTTAAAATTAATTTTTTAACTGCGTTGTGGATAAAGCCCAAAATCCATTAAGATAAACAGAAATTTTCTCTTGATCTCTCTTTTTGGTAAATTTTTTTTTAATTTTCCTAGTTGTATTGGAAGTTTTCAATACTTTATTCACGAATAATTATCATGCAAATTTGATCTAACTTAACAGTTAGAGTTGTTATTAAACGTATTAAACAATTATTGCTCTTATAATTATCAAATCTTGTGTACAGCAAAAAGCAATTAAGTTAAAATTATTTTTATTATAAGAGAAGCTATGTAATTATATTTTCTCTTTATTGATAACAAGCGCGGCAGTCCCACTTGCCAATCAACTTGTAAAACATTGTAAAAGAAAATCTTTTTATATTAAATTGAGTACATAAATCAAGTCATTGCAACGATAAGAGCCATTTCCGGCTATCATTGGATAAAAATTATCATAACATACTGAAAATTTTAACCACCAATGTTGCCTTAAAGAGTTTTTAAAGCCGAATTTTTTTAGGAAAAAAAATCAAAGTGAATGATATTTCCACAATCATTTGCTGAACGTTGAGATAGAGAAAACAAAAAGTAGATTTTTGTTGGTAAAATAATGAATGAAGAAAGTGATGAGAGATGAATCAGTAGTACGCTTAAACTCCTTGAATCTGGAATATCCACTTAAATTTTTGCATTTTTCCATTCAATCAAAATAAAGTGGGGTAATTTAGTTAATATTGAAATGATAGTATAGTCAAGTAAATAATAACAGAGAGTAAGCAGTTTTCAAACATTTTGTTATTGTTGAAACCATACAGGTCATATAGATTACATTAGAATGTAAGCCTCTTAAAATCCCATTGCTTTCATTCCAAGATGAAAAGAAATTATTTAATATTCTTCGTCAGAATCAAGGAAGAGGCGACGTATGTTTTCCTCTGAGATGTGTGTTGCGACGGCTTTTTCCAGCAGAGGAGGAATTTCCCATTTGCTTTTGCTGCAGATGAAGTGGAAGTTTCTAGAGCAGTTGTTGGCCCAGTAGTTTGCTTTTTTGCTGTCGACGTAAATGTTGACGCAAGGACCCGGCTGCTCGGATTTGATGACGTCAACAATGGCCATGTCTTCAGAGCTGCTGGTCCACTTGAATTTATCCTTACTTATGTGCTTGTAGGAAGATAGGTTGCTCAGCTCGTCTCCTGAAAACCACTTGGCTCCGATCCAGACGTTGACTGTTACACACATGAAGAAAAAATTCAGATTCTAGCGTCCGAAATCATTTGATTTTGATTTAATTCATTTCATCAATGGATCACGAGTCTTTATTCAAAACTTTCTTACAATGCTCCGTGGATGCCGACAGCATGGTCCGTAAATATAGCATCACAGCTGTAAAATGCCTGGTGCTTGGAACTGTGAGAAGGTCGAGTCCCATTCTTCGGCAGAAAACTTGGGCTCCATTCCAATCGCGCTGAAACAAGATTTTCACTTGTCAGAACACCCTCTCTGCAATATTTTAGCTACTTACCCGCATGTTGTCCATCCTGGATGCATGCAGGTAGCTCACGAAGAATGGATTGTCACCTGCAACGAGTGTGAGCATTTTATACGCACACAAAATGATTAGGATACAAACCTAGAGAAAATTCTGTCACAGACTCGTCACGCCGAGCTTGACTGTTGATCCTTGAGTAAGACTCGTCTGACAGTCCGTTCTTGGGGTTGAAATTGGTACGAGGCGAAGCAAGTTTTCCATCGTTCACGACGTTCTTGTGATTGATGAGGACGTCGGTGAAGGCCATGTTTTTGGTCAAGGCGGTGAAATTCGCCAGCGTCCGAATCCTGACCAGATCCTGCGGCCGATCGAACGGGAAGCCCATCGCTCTTTTGTCTGGATACTTTGAGTCCCTCATGCCGCAGTAAGGTGGCGTGTCTTTCAGGGTAGCTCTGACGAACGGCACCTGAAATCAAGACAACTTAATTCCTCTCATTGACACCTGCAGAAAGATCTATACGTCTAATTCGTAGTTTGTGACTATGACGAAGAGCTGAGCCGTGTAACCACCTGGCGTTCCTTTGGGAATGAGCAAGTGCATCGGCCAGCCGCACTGGGAATTGGTTTCGGCATCGGTGAGAACTGTCGGGTATTCCACGGCAACGGTTGAATCAGAGTCCTTGCGAATAATCTCTGTAACCTTGTTTGCCGGTACTTAAATTAAGAGCTGTCAGAAGAAGTCGCCATATTTTAAATTAACTAACATGTCACTTGGAACCTGTCAAGTTCAATGAACAATCTTCTTTGCTCGGCAAAATCAATTGCCACATCACGGTCGTTGTATTTCGGTGCCAGGAAAATGCGCACAAACCCTTGCACTGGTCTGCTTCCAGAATTAAGCACTTTGAACAACAAAACTTGTTAAATCTCAAGGATTCTCTCCTTTCGGGGGTGATAAAACGGCCTGGTTGAAATGAGAAGAGGATAGGTTTGGTTGTTAGTAATTTGAAGGATGAGGAAGGTGAGCGGCTGCGGCCTATGAATGGGTACTTTGCCAGCATTCGCCTGGAATATGTCTGATGGAAAGCGCAGAAAACACCACACAGCAATTTTTTCCAAATCTGCCTGTCGCAGTGATCACCTCCTATGATTTCCTGAAGTCTTGTGAGCTAAGCGGCCAAGAACAGAGCTTTTTCAAACCCTATTCCCAGCCGGGATAGAACCCAAGGCCTTCAGGTTTTATCAGCCTAGCGCACCAACCACAGCTTTTTTATATTTATTTTATTTGCGTTACCTTGATGTTATATTGGAAGGGCACATGCTGGAGACGATCCGTTTTGATGGACACGATGTGATTGCCGTTGGGTTCTCCTAGAAAGTCAAGGCTCCTGTTAAGGGAGATGGTGAACTTCTCCCAGTGTGTTTCAAGTTTGTTCAACACGTCGGACTGGTCCGACTGCAGAGAAATGCTGGTGACCTCCACGGCCGGGAAATTGAGCTTTAAATAATAAATTTGAGATGATTTTACACCCAAAGTAAATTGAATTTAGCACCTCTGGTACAGTGTACGGAGGCAAAGTTTCTTTAAAACTGTTGAATATGTTGTCGACCATTGCGTGGACTTTGTAAAAAGCTGGGTCGCGCATGGCCGTTGAGGTTTCGCCCATGACGCCCATGTCCTCGTTGAAGCGGCCGTCAGGGTCGTGCGAGAGAGCGGTGAACACGTGCATCATGTTGTGCAAGTCACCGTAAAACTTCTTGTTGACGCTCAAAACGGAAGACTCGACCATGTTCCCGAGGATGTTGATTCCCGTGTTGGCATTCAGCTCAATTTCGGTGTTGTCGGCCTGAAGAAAAATTTATTTTGCATTATAGATATTTTTTGAATTTTTAGATTCTAACTCACTTTTCTCACTTTCCCTTGAATGATGGCATCCAGAATGCGATTCTTCCACCGCAAAAGATCCTGCACGCTGATTTTGAACTCGTAGCGATTCAGATTCTACATTTTGGAAATTTAAATAGATCCCTTTCGATGGTGTATTTATTTTACCTGAAATTGCAAATTTTTAGGTCGCCCTGCCCACGGCTTGCTTCCAAGGCCTTGATTCAACTTCGAGTAGTATCCGTCGGCAATGGGATTTTTCAAATCGTCAAAAGGCTCCACAAAGGGGAGTCTATTGCTCAGCCTCTCAAAGTTGTATCTGAAGAAAATTGAGAATACCGGTTTTGAGGTAAATGATTGCAGTACCTGGCGATGACCTGCTGGTGCATGTAGTAAAAGAGCTCGCCCCTGCGATCTTTGTCCACGACGGGGATGTTTGAAGCATTCTTCGGATCGATGAAAGGGTACCAGATATGCCAGTGCCAGTGATGAAGGTTCATGAAGACGTCCTCTCGGAAGTAGGAAAGCCAGTGCTCTGGGTCCAGGTCGTTACCGCTGAAGTCGAAGGGTTGCTCGACCACTGTCTATCTCGCAAAATTATTATGTATGACTATCCTCTTATTTAGAATTAACAAAACTCCACCTCATCTTTTTGGTTGATGATGTCAATCGTCATTTGATGCTGCGCCACTTCCAATTCGGAACTTTTGATGAAGTTTCCAGGGAAAATGTGCGCTAGAGAACGCATCTTGAGAGATCTGCAATCAGGTCGATGCACCAAAACAAAGCTCAAAGCGTAGACGAAGAGACCGGGATTGGTTTTGTCCCTGATGCAGTAGGCGCGTTGCAGCATTTCGTCAACATCGCCCACCTCTATACCAATAAAAATTGTTAAGGAATGAAAAAACCTTTTTTAAATCTCGGCTACCCATGAGCAGATTGATCAGTTTGCTGGCCAATCGCTGGTGGTGCGGCATGAAGATGGAGAACAACTCGTCCCTGGGCAGTTCTTTGAGAAAGTCGAGATTCGGTATGGCTCGGATGTCAGACAAGTAAATGATGTTGGAGAGGTCGTTGATGGTGGCGGCCTGCAGCCTTTCAATTGCTCGCAGATCTTCCTGTTATTTTGATTATAATTCTAAAATTTGTCATTCTTGGGAAATTTAGAGTTCTGCTTACGTAACAATGGTTGGCATTTTTTGAGATTTTGACCACCAATCGATCTGGTCCCTTTGGCAGGAAAGCGGGCTCAAATAATTCTGTCGTCATCGCATGGATCAGCTTGTTTCTGTTTTCAATCGTCATTTTCGCATTCGTTGTTTGCAAAGAAGCTTCAAAGTAAGCACGAATTTAATCAATACCCAAAAACATTCACTTTTCAATAATTGAAATAAGACTTACTTGCAAACATGAAGGTAGCGATAAACACCCATGTTATGTTTGGCCACATGACTCGCGAAATGTTGTTTTAAACTTGCGTTTTCAATTTCTCTACAGAACACATACTGTTGATGAATAATGGAAAAAAATTTGCAGATCTTAAATTAATAAACAGTGATTATTGCAAACTTTGAGAACAGTGTTCAAAATATTTTGCCATAATGTTCAATGACTCCTGTAGGCTGGTATAGAGCTATGAAAAAAGCTATTAAAATTTACTATAAATTAAAATTAAGGGTGTTTCTTCGATAATGCGGCGCAGAAGAATTGTAAATATTTTTATTTTTTCTGAAAATATTATTATCGCGCCACACAACGTCGGTGATTTTAGGCCGGTTTTCTGAATAGTTAATTAAATACCGGTATGTAAAATATTTTTGAAAAATGCTTATAATTTTGGACTGAGGAGTGGTATTATTATAAATATCGTATTTTTCCATCATAAACTAATGCACAAACCTAAATTTATACAATATACATGTTTTTCGTCGCAAAAAGTCCAAATTTTGGTGAAATTAGAACTTGCATACCGGTTTTTATTACACAATAACCGGTATATCTCAATATCTGTCAGAAGAAACCGAAATTTTTTCGTACCAACGTGAAGTTAGCCACCATAGCTTTCGAATGAGACCATAAAAACAATATGTTTCTTGCCTTTTTAAATTTTGGCTGATGGATATAAAACGGTTTTGTTAGTTTTCCTGCTTCCGAGATAGGGCTATTTTTGAAAATCGGCTGTAACTTTTTTTTGGGCAGATGAAATTTTCTGAAAATTTAGACACGTATTAAGGATGTGATAACGAATCGGCCAATGTGCCATATGACCACACTTTCTTGGCTTTCCCGCATTTTCCAACCCCATTTGACCCTTTTTGGGAATTTTTGGATTTTCTCAAAAATGGAAAATGCAAAAATAATTTCCTTTGGGGAAGTTTGTGCCTATGAGTGACGTCAAATTTTGGCTATCTCAGATTTAATTTTCCGGTTGCATACCTTCAGGGGCAGGCATTGAAGTATTTTTACCCTGATTTCAGGGTACTTAACCCTTTCATAGAAAATAATTGTTAATGTAAAAAATATTGGAAATTTTATCAGCATTCAGAATATATGCTCGTTTTTAACGTAGGACTTATACTTAATGAGATACAAGCGGAAAAGCAAACCCCTTTATAACTCAGCCATTTTCCGGAAAAGTCGGAAAATTTTTCATAAAAGCTCTTATAATGGGCAAATAAAAGAGAAAAATTTGTTGGAAATATTTTGCAGTCATTTTTTCAAAATATTTGCAAATTCAGTGGGCGTACCCTACGATGATCGCCGAAACAGCCTTAATTAAATTTTTCTTGCTTCTCACTTCATACATTATATAAAAACAGTATTTAAGAGTATAAATTTTAAATTAAATGATAAAATCAGAAGGTTTGCAATTTTTATGCTCAAGACTGACCAAATTTAATTCAATTTTAACTGGATTTAAATATTTAAGATTCACTCACCAGACGTTCAGAGGAATGTGATGGTCTGCGGCACTGATTGTTGTGTGGGAAATAATGAGACATTTTGCAAACCCGAGCCCACTTTATATAGCAATCCTACATTTGACCTCGCTTCTGATCTCGTAACCTTCATAATTATTTTATTGCATTCCCAATATACAATTTGTTCAAAATGATGTGGAATCCCAGACTCTTTTGACCCGCGCGTTTGCTTAGTACAAAAAAAATACCAGTTCAAAGATCGCTGGGTTTTGCCGCATATTGGCGTTTTACCCTGCCCAGCTGGACAATTAAATTAAATAATTATATCATTCAGACTCTACTTTTTTATGCTCGGCAATTCCCATCTAAAGCCAATAGTATCAAAGAGAGAAAAGATCAAAATAATATTTAAATTGTATCTTTTGTTTTCTCCAAATATTCTTAAATTTCATCAGTGTTTCTTGTAAATATGCAACCTGACAGTTCTGACGCAAAACCTGTGATAAAGCCTAAAGATTCACCATGCTTATTTATATAGAAGTAAAAAAAATTAAAATATTTCCTAACCGTTTTGAAAATATTATCCTGATTTCAAAATAACGTTTAAAATGAGTCTGGAAATAGTCTTTCCTGAGAAGAAAATAATTGAAAATGAGTTCTTTTTTTTCATTATATTTGAGTCGAATTAAATATATTTTAATGTATTCCATTCAGAATTGAAAAATTTAAAAAAAATAATTAGGCAAGGAGATTCCATCCATACAATGAAATTTGAATAGCATAAAAGAAATTTAAATTTAGTTGCAAAGTGTCTTTATTGATTGTATCAGAAGGCAATTACTGCCCAGGTACATCATACATACATTCAAATAAAATTATCAATTTACATAATAGAGAGGAAAATGATCTTAAAAAGAAAAAATTCACATTAAGGCCCAGTTTCTATGAGCGTTTTGCCACCACGCGGCGCCACCGTCGCGAGCGGAGCGAGAGTGGCTCTGTGCGCTGCTGGTTTGCCACATCGTCAATCACATGTTTTGTTAATCAAAATTCAAAACATTAATTATTCTCTAAGATAGTTTTTACTGACTTATTAAATAACACTAAAATTATTCTGCTTTTAATTAGACATTCGATTTGATAAACAACGTTTCCCGTCTTTTTATTCTCGAATTTGCAGTTTATTAAAATCGGAAATATTGTATGACAAGGTTTGCCGATAGATCGAGTGCCTTGATTTACTTTTCTGAGGTCTGTAAATGCACTCTTTCAACGTAAAATTTAATGCAGAATCGCCTGGTCACATTAATTTTGCGATTAGGTCGGCCGCCGACTCGTACGCGGCCGAGACGTCACTTGCCGCTGCCGCGTTTCATTTGGTGGGTCTTCGTCGGGGCCACCTTCGGACGAGAGCCGCTCGTTTCGATAGACTTTTGCGCGAATGCAGTATTTTTTTAGAACGCGTTAAATTAAATTATTCAAAGTTTCAGCATTGATAGATAATTAAGTCATGTATATTTTGATATGCTGGTTTTAAATAAATTTTGACTAGGAGCGGAGTTATTAACGTTTCCGCGAGACTTTTGTTTTTTTAATTTTAAAATTAGAAAAAAAATTTTAAACATAAAAACCCTAAAAGAAAAATGTTGCCAATTAAATTTCCTACAATTTCTTTCACAGGCTTGATAATGTCAACATTTTTTTTACTTATGAACGGAAGGCTTAAAGTCAAAATATAATTTTTTAACATAGAAGAAAATTTTTTAGAATTTTTTTGAGATGGCCAATCGATTGGAAATTTAATTTTGTCTAGGGTGAGTAAATTTCATCAAAAAATATTGAGCTGTTTTCAAGTTGCAGCTTCCTTTTTCATGAGCGCACTAATGCCGCCTTCGTCTTCAAAAGCGCTTAGAGGTGCCATCACATTTTATTTTCTTATTTTGAAACGGCGCATTATTTTTTGATGAAATTTACTCACCCTAGACAAAATTAAATTTCCAATCGATTGGCCATCTCAAAAAAATTCTAAAAAATTTTCTTCTATGTTAAAAAATTATATTTTGACTTTAAGCCTTCCGTTCATAAGTAAAAAAAATTTTGACATTATCAAGCCTGTGAAAGAAATTGTAGGAAATTTAATTGGCAACATTTTTCTTTTAGGGTTTTTATGTTTAAATTTTTTTTTCTAATTTTAAAATTAAAAAAACAAAAGTCTCGCGGAAACGTTAATAACTCCGCTCCTAGTCAAAATTTATTTAAAACCAGCATATCAAAATATACATGACTTAATTATCTATCAATGCTGAAACTTTGAATAATTTAATTTAACGCGTTCTAAAAAAATACTGCATTCGCGCAAAAGTCTATCGAAACGAGCGGCTCTCGTCCGAAGGTGGCCCCGACGAAGACCCACCAAATGAAACGTGGCAGCGGCAAGTGACGTCTCGGCCGCGTACGAGTCGGCGGCCGACCTAATCGCAAAATTAATGTGACCAGGCGATTCTGCATTAAATTTTACGTTGAAAGAGTGCATTTCCAGACCTCAGAAAAGTAAATCGACTTACTTTGAATGGTGATAACCGAAGCGAGGCCAAAGTTGAGAGCGAGTTTATTCATAATTTTCACTCTGGTTCACGAGAAATAGAAGTAAATTTCGCGTAACTACCTATTTTTTACGATTTAGGGTCACTCTTTATTTCGTTAATTATCAAATTCACTGATGAAATTAAAAATAAACAGCACTATTTACGATTTACACTCGTCGCGGCAGGCGCCATTGTTTTTGCCGGCCGGCCACTGCCTGCTGGTTGCTTGGCAACCAAGATTGGCAACGCTGCAAGGGCTGCCACCGTGATTTTGACAAAAGTCACCGGAAGTGCATACTTTGAGAGCCGATTTATACCCCGTAAGGTTGGATAGCTGCCTTTTGACATGGACAGTTCAAAAGTTTATTTCATTGAGAAGCGGGAAAAAAATGTAAACATCCATGCTCTCCGGCTAAAATTTGCAGCAGGTCGCTTCGAATGAAAAATGAGCCGGATTTTTTCAGTTTTTATCAAAATAAATTAATTTAACTTCCAATTTTTGGAAAAGTAAGTACAGAATTCGATTTATCTTGAAAATTTGCATCTGAAAATGACACATGATTTTGACTGTCAGTCGCGTAAAATTAATTAAAAATAAAACAAAATCTTACGATTGGGACGCGATTGCTCGAACCGGAAGGCGGCTGCGCACTTCCGGTTTGTGACGTCATGTGATCGCTAGGACCAAAAAATTTGTGTTTGATGTATAAAAAGTGGTGTGATCGGTAACTTTTACCATAGAAACAGGGCCTTAATCAAAAGATATTACATCAATTGCATATTTAACAATGAGAATAAAGGGAGTTTTGAAGGAAAAGAATTAGGATAAGGTATAACTGGTGACCAATTTTTGACTGACGCTAGTGCCCCAAGCATGCTTGATTTTAGTGATTTTAATGTTTATCAAGTTCTTTGACGCTTTTTCTTTAAGAGCATCTAATAATGTCAATCCTTTGTTTAGGACTTGGTCTCCACAATCCTCTGTTCTTTGTCTTTTTTTTTTATTCCATTTATATTTGATTATTATTATTATTATTTTTTTTTTTATTCTTTTTAATATGTACTCAGCTGTACTGTTTATTTATTGTTTGCGCAACCCTGGACTGAGGACCTACTCTTCTTTGGTAGCACGTGATGAACATGATGAGGCATGATGAACATTTTATTATTATTATCTCTGATTGGCAATTCTAAAGCGTTAGGGATTTCCATGAAATTCTTAGATCAAAATCACTTTCCTCGTTAACACGTGATAATTTGCCTTTTTTCATCAAATTTGTAAAAATAAAATTTAAATATTCTCGATGAAAATTTCAATCTTACTGACTGTAGAAATAAATAATGTATTTAGAATATAAAATAAATTTAAACAATACTAATATAATATTAATTAATAGCTTTGGTGAAAAAATTATCACGTTCTCTCACTGTCAAAATTTTTCATCCAAGAAACGTGCTAATTCAAATAATCCAGTTTTCAAACACATCATAATATGTTTTATTTTTGCCCACAGATTATATTTTGCCTGAGGAGAAGGACAAACGATTTCTCAAGAGATGGACCGAAGCTTCGTAACAAGGACAATAAATTCATCATGATGTAATTATTGCAGAAAACCTAAATTAAAATTGATGTAAATCTCGTAATCGATGCAGTTTCGTGCACAGCCCAAGCTCGGCCATGCACGGCGCAATTAAAAGCGGCAACTGGAGTTTGATCCGAGATCTGCGAGACGACGGCCAAGTGTTTTGCACCGGGGTCGGTCTCAACTGCTTCATCTTGGCATCTTTGCAAGTCCACCTGCCCTCGGACGGCTGCTGCAAATTGGTGGCAAAAATGCTTCAAGTTGAGCCCGGTGGAGTTCAGGCAAGGGCTGAGGGTAAATAGTTTTACAATTCAATTCATAAATAAGTAAAAATGGTTTTTTATAGACGGCTCAACAATTTTGATGAAGTTTCTCACAAACAAGGAGATGATTGAGTTTCTCGTCGCAAAGGGATGTGATATTGACGCTTGTGATAATTCCGGAAACAGTGTCCTGATGCAGTGCTTCCTTTCCCCAAGTCAAAGTCCTGAGGTCTGCATTAAAATAAATGAAATGTCTATTTAAAGTTAAAATTAATGAATAATAAGAGAAAAAACTATTGTTTTAATTCATTACTTATAACTTAAATTAAATGAAATTTGTAATTATGTTTTAATAAATAAAAGTAAATCAATTTCAGGCGTTCACGTGCCTCCTCGAGCTGGGGGCTGAACCGACCCTTTCGAAGGAAGAGGCCGGGCCGGTCAAGTTTTTAAACTTGCTGCTGAAACAACACCACAGCTATCCCAAGTGCGCTCTGAAGGACACCTCGGGTCAAATGATAGTGTCCGTGTTGACCTCGCAGCCGCCGGGGTTCTTCTCGCAGGCCGAGGTGAAAACAAAACACCCGTGGGAGATCTTCCTGGCGCACACCGACGACCTGCAAAGTTGTTCCTTCCAAAGTCTGTTCCTGGCCCTGGCCGAGACGTTCAGGCCGACCAGAAATTACCAGCCGTTCCTTTCCATGTCCAACATTCCCTCGAAAGCCGAACAACTGCACCACGGAGTCCAGCAACTGTGGGACCAAAAGTTGCAAATGCTCAAGACCAACTGGCCCCTCCACCTGGAGCCGATGGGCCTTTTCCTCTACTCGCTCCGGTTCAAAGACATGCAGGCCGAGGATTTCGCCGTCGCTCTCAATCTCCTCAGGGTTTTGTACGACAACGGCTACAACCACCCCTACAGCAAATTCGTCATCCACCCTCTGTCGGCCTTGATCATGAACACGCTTTTCGCCCGGTTTCAACGAATCTCCTCCAATCTCGGGGAAAACTCTTCTTCCAAAAGCTTTCAATTCCTGCACCAGTGCATCATTCTGTTCAAAGGTGGCTGCTTTTGCTGTTTTTAGTTTGAATTTTTTTCATATAATTTCATTTTTACAGATTCGCAAATCCCTTGGGATTCGCTGAAGAAGCGTGAACTTGTCGTTGCTTTGCTGCAAATTTGTCCTCCGGCGAGCAAAGACCTTGTCAAGGAGTCCATCTTCGAGTTGATGAAACTCAACCCCAGCCACCCCGTCCTGCAGATGATGTCCATGCTCAGCCCCAATCCCCAACACCCCCATTTGACTCTAAAAGAGACGGAAAAAACCTTTCGTAAGAATTTTTTTTCTAAGTAACAAAATAATTTATCAAAATTTCAGTTGTCCAATGCGCCAAAGACTGTTTCGCGAAACAGGGATTGGCCAGAATGGGAGGTCTGCTCGACCCAAGCCATTTGCAGGTCGAATTTCTCGAGGCTGGAGATGTTTGTCTCAAGTACATGGTCAACCTCTGCAAGGCCAGAACAAAATGTAATTTCAAAAAAATCTTTATTACTTTATTGATTGATTTTCTTTTCAAGTCATTTGCTCGCTGAAGGATCTGAGCCGGTGGGCGCTTCGAGAGGCAATTCACTCCAAGATGACCAACAAGAATTTCCCGCTGCCTGCCTACATCAAAAGACTCGCTGAAAGCAATTTGATTCCGACCACTTTGCAGCCTTATCTCCTCCTCGACTGATCGAATTGTTGTCATATTTTTTTTTATTAGACTAATAAATAAAAGGCGGATATTTACGAAAGAAGCAATCTTTAAATCTTTATTCAACTCGATAAATTGGAAAAATGTTTTCCACATTTATGACGTATTTACACTCAAATTAGTTTTCAGCACTTTTGTTGGCAAACTTATTCTTTTGCACGCTAAAGGAAAGGGAACCAGAAATGCGTTTGTGACAGTCTTAAACTTTTACAAGAAAATTCTCTTCTGGAATAGAATCCTCGGTCTCGATACATATAATTTTTATCAGATATGAGAGCAAGGCAGATTTATTGTTTCAAAGTCACTTATTTTATTTTACTAATATTAAATTGCAAGAGAGAGATATGGTGTGAATTTTGCACAGCTTCCGGTCTCGGCAACAATTGGCTTTTCATTTTCTACAGGGCACTTCTTTTATTGTCATCCCAACAAAACTACTAGTTTAATCGTGTTAAAATCTGTCAACTTTGGTAGGTATGTAAAGAAAGGAAGTGTGAAGCTTAGAAATAAATTAGTGACTGGCTAGGAGTCGGCGCCGGCCTGAATCCTGCCCACCATCTGCTTGACCCAGCCCTTGGGCTTGACCTGCTCCTGCTGCTCCTCCTCTTTGACGTCTGACTTAGGTTGTTGGAGCCGGTGGGGCTTGGCGGGGACGGGCGGGGGCACCTTGCGCGCCGGCTTGGGGGTCGACGGCTCGTCGTGGTCGTCGCTGAAGATGGCGCTGTCGCGGTAGAATTCCTCCTGGTCCAGCACGGCCGACAACGAGTCCTCGTAGAAGTCGTCGCGCGTCTGCAGGTTCAGGGTGGCCGGGTCGGCGTAGTCGGAGCCGCTCGCGTTGGCGATGCGCGCGCCCAGGCCGCTGCTGCCCTGCTTGTACATGGCGGGGGGCGTGGCCTCCGTGGCCTGCTGCGCGACCTCGGCCAGCGACTCGGAGCTGTTGACCATCAGCTTGGAGCCGAAGGAGGCGAGCACGCCGAGGAAGGACGGCGACCGCGTCGGCGTCACCGGCGGCGACCTTTTCGGCCCCTCCCCTCCGCCCTGAGGGCCGCCCTGAGGGCCGCCCTGAGGGCCGCCCTGAGGGCAGCCCTGAGGGCAGGAGGGGAGGGAGGGGACCGGACTAGGTTCGTCCTGCTGCAGGTTGGCGCTGTTCTTGAGGTGCCACTGCTGCAGGAAACTCCTCTGGCAGGTCTGCAGACTCTCCTGCTGCGTCCGCAGGGCGCACATGCGGGCCAGGCGCTGCGCCCTGAGTCTCTGCCGCGGCGACCTGTGCTCGCAGTCGGAGCTGCTGTCCTCCTTGGGCCTGCCCAGGGAGCGCGACCTTTTGACCGCGCGCTGCAGGCCCACGTTCTGCATCACAATCTCGCCCACGATTTCCTCCAGACTGGCCTGCCGGTTGTTGGTCTCCGCGCCTTCCTCCTCCTCCTCCTCCTCCTCGTTCTCCTCCTCGGTGCAGACAGGCTCGGGGGCCGCCTCGAGCCGCGGTCGCTGCTCCTGGTGGTGCAAATTGGTCGAGTTGCGCCGCTCCAGGCTGGAGAAGAGCTGCGACAGTTTCGAGGGCAGCGTCAGACTGCAGTACGGCTCCGACTTGCGGTGCCAGTTGTAGAAACGGTCCTTCAGCTTCTCGGTGCTGCTGACGATGGCCGTGGTGGTGGTGGTGGGGGAAGTGTCGTTTTCCCGGGAGGCGCTCGAGCTGCGGTTGCTGCGCGGGGTGGTGCCGCCCTCGGGGTTGGAAAGACCGGCGTCCGAGCGGCGAGATCGGCGCAGGCGGGAGGGAAGAAGACCCGTCTCGGAGCGCCGCCGCTCCTGATGCCGCTTCTGCAGGTACTGCGGCGCCGAGTGCTGCCGGCGAGGAACACTTCTTTCGGCCAATAGCTCATCTGAAATTGAATTTTTTGTTTAATAAAATTCATTTTAACGCTGCATGCAAAATTGTATCAATTCCTAAGCATAAAAAAGACAATATTTAACACTATACAACAAGTTAATTGATATTCTGATATGGAAAAAACTCCATGAAAGCTGAATTTTTACCATTAAAAATATGCATATCATGATAAACCGAGAAATCATTTCCCCCATTTCTCGTGCCGGAATTTTCAATTTCAAATGAATTGATTTGAAACGGCCATAACTCATCTTCTAATTGACTTACACTCGCTTCCTTCATGGTTCTGGAAAAGGCGAAATTATTGCCTAGAGGTGAAAACAAAAATCGTTGAACGTTGAACCCCGTTTTAGAACCAAATATATCAATAAACAAAAAATTTTTAAGCTCTAGGAAAATGGATTTTTGGCCCAATGTACTTCTTTAACAAGAAAATGCTTCATACAGAAGTTGTCAAAAAATTAATTTTGCAGATATTATGCCCGGTATACCCCGACAGTAATAACTTTCCTCCAATTCTAATTAGATCCAAAGCGAAGTGGAAAAAGTACACAAATATGGGCATTGAGCAAATTAAGACGGCCATGGCGCTCATCCGCGGCCATGGACAGCTTTTGGCGATTTCTTTAAATGCCTAGGCGGCCCAAGACAGCGCCAGGAGTTTCGAGGTAGTTTTATCCGTTGCCCATAACCGCGCAAGGCCCTCTGAGACGTTCTCTGAGGACCGTAACCGAGGCGTCCGAGACAGCACTAGGCGCTTCCAGAAAACTTAAATTCAAACGTATTCCTAATTATTATTATTATTTTACTAAAACGGCGTCAGAACAATTCCTTACTATTCCTCTGTCCAGGCCATATTGTTTCTTTCCAGTATCAAGAAAACCAAAGTTTTGGCCGTTTGCAGTTAAAATATAATCCACAAAATTCAACATTGAGATCCTGGCATGCAATGGGGAAAAATCTGCACAAATGACTTTTCAGCTTCTTATTACTTAAGAAGCTCAGCTTTCATACAATTTGTTCCGGATCATAATTTAAATTGACTCAATTATGATGATTTTCTTTCCTAAAGTATCTCTAAATTTGGTACTGTTATTTTTTTCTATTTAAGTAAATATTGCCATTGTTGTTAATTAAAAACTTTTTCAGAGACTTGAACGCCAGAACGAGATATTTTGAGAATGTTTTGTCACCTTCCGTGCGGCCTTGGCCAAGTTGCATCACAAGCTGGCGAGCATGACTGGGAATCACTGCGCTGTAGTTTTCCAAAATAACCCTCTTGAGCTGCTGCGTCCATTCTCTCTTTTGCTCCAAGCTTCTCGCCTGCAACAACCAAGTCAATATCTTTTAGAAGAAATTTAGCAATCACAAAACTCACTTGAAAGGTGAACTGCATTCTTGGATTGTCGAAGGGAATCACGTGGAAGCTGAGAGGCTCTCCGGGAATGCTCTCGATCAGCATCAAATTTGAACACTGCAAAATTTCCATTAAAATAAATTAATTCACTTTTGTCGAATTTTCCCTACCTCGATGTGCGTTTTGCAAGTCAAATGGTCTCCGGTGCGTTTGGCAATGAGCAGCATTTTGTCAAAGAGGAAGGCGTGTCGGAGCGCTTTGGCGCCGCAAATCCGGAAGGTGCCCTCGGCGCAGAGTTCTCCGAAGGTGGTGAGATCGGCGCCCTTTTATAATTTAAAAGTTAATTAAACATGAAAATATAATGCATTAGGAATGGAATATAAAACATGAAAATTAATGCGGATCAAAACGAGAATTCAATTAAATCAGGCGCTTTACAACTTTTAAAAGGAAAATTTCTATAAAAACTATGCGGTGACCCTTAATTTTCTGGTCAGAAATCAACAGCCCAGATGCTAAGGAATATTTTAGTGGGTCAAACATCTTTCAAAATCAGATTTGTTTTCATTAAAAAAGGTATTAAGTGATTCATAGACAAATTTACTACAAAATCCGAATAAAGATTTCTTAAAAATTGAAGCCTCCAGAATCAAATTTACCTGCCAGTCGTGGAGGAGCGACTGGATTTCCTGGACGCGGACGGCGTGTTCGTGTCGGCGCTTCATCTCGTTGATGTGCTGGGCGAGGCCGGTCATGGCCTCGAGCGCCTCCTCGATGGCCGAGCGGCCGAGCGCCTCCGAGGGCAGCTGCTTCATCAGACTCTGCAGCAGCAGGTGGTACTTGAGCACCCTCTGCACGGGCTTGAGCAGGTACGAGCCGAGGGGCAGCGAGTGGTGCAGGGCGGTCTGCCTTTCCCGGCACAGACTCATCGTCTCCTCGTTCTGCATTATCTCCGTCAAAACACTAACCGTCCTGCAAAAAGATGGGTTAAGAAATAAGTTTTTAGAAAGCTTTAAACTTTTCAAATTCGAAAAATGTTCATGAGATTCAACTCTAACATATAACTAAAATTTACAATTTCTGGATTAATAAAAAAATGGAATTTAAAAAACTCAAAATTTGAAATAATTTGGGTCAATTTCGCTTTTTATGATAGTTTTGGAATTAATTTAAAATTTCTATGTTAATTAAATTAAGAATAACTCTAAAATTTTGTTCTAGTTTTGAAAATTCAAATAATTAAAAGAAGAAAACACTTACTTGGGGTAGCTTGTGCAATACTCTGTGTAAATGCGGAAGCCCGAGTTGTGCCTCACAAAGCATTGCGCCACTTTCACAGCATCTAAACTACACGCGTCCAAATCCCTCAGGAATCCTCTGCGAATGCAAAACATTACTATTTACTCAAATTATTAACTTCGAGTCCAACCTATTGAAACTGAGGATCGCCTCCATGTTGCTGAAGAGATCGGCCAATTGTTGCGGCGCGATCGGACAGTCCGCACTCTCTCGCCAGTTGTACAGATAACCCTGAAAAACAATTTTTTTTAATTATTTATGTAAAATTTCTCACGTTAGATTAAATCTCAGCTGGAAACATGACAAATAATACAGAAAAGTGAATTTTTAATGAAAATAACTATTTAAATTCCAAATTAATCAACTTGAGAAACAGTTTTTCTTTATATTTTAAAAATAATCTTACATTTCTTTCAGTTCAAATGCATGTTTTATAATTTTGACAGTGAAACCATAAAAATTCAATTAATTAATTGTATACTGAAAAGCGAGTTTGCTGCAGGGAATTAAGTTATGAGCAAATTGTTTTATTTTTGTTTTTTGTACCTCGACGACTTGTTCAAGATCACGAACGTAAACAGCCTCGGTCTCTGTGATTTCGAGCAGCACGCGCTCGACGGGGCTCAGGTGGGGTTCGCTGCAGTACCGGGGGCGCACTGGTGGGGGCTGCGGCGCCGAGATGATCAGAGTGCAGCCGCCCACGCCGCTGTCCGCAGAACCTGCGCAATCAAATCATGATTAGTCTCATCAATTGAAACCCACGCCGATTAACATGCAATAATAATAAATTGCACAATTCTCGGGCAATTATTTATTCAATAAACCAAGTGATTGTTATGAAATGAAGTTGTATGAAAAATAACTTTTTTTATTCTGTTGAGAATGAATTAAATTAAATTTTGTAAATTTTAAAATAAGTTGAAAATAAATAAATTTTGTTCTAGCACATTTTATTTAATTTTAAAATAGAGAATGAAAATCATACAAGATGATTTACCTGCTGAGCTGCCTGACTGGCGGTTGAGAAGGGCCTGTCCTTCGCGCAACGCCTGCCCAAGTCGCTCTCTTCGTCGGGCGGCAAGACATCGAGAACTCTGTCAAAACAAATTCATTTTTATTAATAGTCAGGGAATCAAAAGCATTTTGCCCCATGAAATTAATGCAAGGCTGAAATTTTCCCCATATTGAGCCACATTATCTGAGATTATTTCCTGCCCAGGCAAAAAAATTACATTTGAAAGGTACCGAATATTTATTTTTTGTAGTAATTTTTCTATTTCTTGAACAGTCGTAAGACCAACGTCGATGAATAGGAAATTTAATTGGCTTTTAAAATCACACCAATTTTACTCAAATCGGACAATTTTTGGCACCAAAACGTTCAATTTTTCAAACAAAGGTTGTAGATAATTTAGTTTTGCACACCTTTTGTATTTAATATTTTCTTCTAATTCAAAAGGAACAAAAGCTATGAATGAGTTAAGGTTGGAAAATGAGGTTTTATGCTCAATGTTAACCATACTGAAATCAAACACTAAACCTCATTTTTCAACTTTAACTCTTTCATAACTTTTGTCCATTCGGAATTGGAAGAAAATGGTAATAACAAAAAGTGTGCAAAACTAAATTATCTACAACTTTTTTTTTAAACATTTTACTCTAAAATGATTTCAAGAAGAGCTGGAGTTAAAAAACCAATGTAAGAATGACAAAAAATTGACCTTTGTTGAAACAATTAAAATTTTTGACGTAAAAAATTGTCTGATTTAAGGAAAATTGGCAAGATTTTAAAAGCCGATTAAATTTCCTATTGATTGATGTTAATCCCATGTTTCTACAAGGAATAAAAAAATTACTACAAAAAATAAAAAATCCGCCAACTTTCAACATTTTTACCTTGAAAATCTTACTAGGAATTCTCAGAAAATGCTTATCAATGGTGAAAATGTGAATTTTTACTGGGTTGCATTCTTTCATTCCTGTAATTTAACTCTTTTAATAAAAAAAAAAAAATTTATTTAAAAAAAAAAGTTCAAAATTTTAGTAATTTTTACATATTTCACCAATTCGTTGTTATTATTTTTTTTTGGTGCATGAATCAAATTGATAGATTTTGACTGACCTCTGCGTCTTCGTCGTCGGAGGTGGCGCCCTCGAGGGACTCGGTGGAGGCGAGGTAGGAGGCGGCAGAGGGGGCGCAATTTTCGCCCGAACTCGAGGAACTGGAGCAGGTGGAGGCGGCCGAGAGGGGCCGCGGGGGCTTGCCGGGGGCCGAGCGCAGCGTCGGGGGCGGCGGGGGCGGCGGCACGCTCGGCCGGGGTGGCGCCGAGAAGGGCAGGGCAGGGGGGCGGCATTCTTCGCCGGCGAGGGCGGCGTCGTAGATGTTCAGCAGCGTCGGCACCAGGTCCGATGTCCCCGACCCGCCTGCAACACAAAAATATAAATAATTATTCAAATTAAAAAATTTTTATATGGAACCAATTTTAAAAACTTGAAAATCAATCAAATATGCGATATATTTTAGAATAGAATGAATTTACTCTCAAAAATAGATTTTTTACATTTTCGATCCAAATAAAAGCCTCGGAAAAGCAAGTAATTCATTATTTAATCTTCATTATCTCATCAACGTATTAAATGGCGATTTTTAAAATTACAGGGTCGATGTGAAATTTCACGGGCTAAATTTTTTCCTAGCCCACAAAAAAAATCTTCAATATTTGTCTTTTATAAATAATATAATATGAAGTGGCTAAAAAGTGACATTTTCCTAAAGCCTACGACTTTTTTTCACCAGCAAAGTTGTTCAGCGTAAAAAGTTACGTCGGAATCAGTTTAGATAATTATTCTAACTTGAACCGATCCAAAGTTATGGAAAATCAAAAAAATCCTCAGGTCATTTTTGAACCCCTAAATTTTTTGGCAACGCCCCTTTTTTGAGGTCTCAAAATTGGCGATGAAGGCCCCTCTAGACACCGACTTCGGAAAAATAGTCAGAAATTCTCACAAAATCAAAACTTAGATTTAATTTTTTTTGTCCAATTATTTGAATTTCTTTTCCTAATTTTTCATCATGATTTACAAATTAATATACTTAAAAAAAAACTTAGAGGTCAGGTCAAAGTTGAAGCAATTTGTCAAACCATTTTCTTGCGACTTGATTCGGCCCAACATTTCAATTAAGAAAAAAGAAAGTGGCTGTGAAAAAAGATTTATGGTCGGAGCAGTTTAGCAATAATTCCCACAATAAATTACGTATAAAAATGTCTGGATTTTGAACTTTTGGCAGGTCGGTGAACTTTGCCACGCCCCTTTCGATTTCCTGCAAAATTATTGCGAGCGGCCCGGAGCGCTTTTTGTACATAAATTTGGAGGAAATTCCGCGGCGACTGAGCTGACGCGGCCAATTACCCGCGGTTTTATCTCGGCCGCTGAGCACTTGGCAAGCAAAAAACACCACCTTGGGCAAACAAGGTGGGCATAATCATCGGGTCACGTGACTCGGCCGGGGGCAAGGCTGCCGATCAGGCAATATATAGAAAGGGGTCACGCCGCACACACATGAGATGAGACAAGTAGCAAAAAAACTTCATTTGAAATAAAATTGTTTGAATAAATTGCTTAAAATCTTTGAAATATTTTTGCAGACTATGAATTTATTGAATTGAATAATAAATTAATTAAAAATAATTCACTTATTGAATCGATCAAAACATTGAAATAATAATTAAAAAAGAAAACCGGTTTTTGGATTTTAATTTGATTAGATCGGAATGGAAATCGAAAGCGTCTTGTTTTATTTCTTTCCAGCTTTATTTATTTATCTCGTTTCTTCTCCTGCATTGTTTGTTGCGTCGCCAGCAGCGATTTAATTACGAATCCGATCGATTTCGCCCCGGGCCGAGTTTATACACCTGATTTTTTTAAAGGCAGGTTTATGCAAATTGCGTGAGAGTTAACCTGGTATAAAGCACAGCTGCACGATTTCAACTGGCCACAGTTCATCATAATGAACAAAAAAGTGATAAAATTCAAAATAAAATATATCATATTTTAAAATATATTTTCAAGGTAGGCTTGCGATATCTGCACTGAAATTAAAACTTCTGAACTCTTTTCCATAAGAACAATGTAAATTTTTTATGTTGACTGACGTATTGGTTTAATTTTTCCATCTTAATTGAAGTCATTTGGTGAAATTTTTATCAATTTTGGGCAGGTCAATTTAGAAATAAAAATTATTTTAGAAAATTCCAATAAGAAACAATTGTAAATTTCAAAAATTCCGTTCTACCAATGACTCAAATTTTTCTTATTATCTCTTATAAAATGAAGAAAAATTCCATCAAAATTAATCTGGCCGCTTTTTTGCAAAATTCTCTTTAAATTTAAAACTTGCCCTTTTTCGCCCCTCCAATTTGTGTTCGGAATTTGCAGCTCTTGAGCTGACGAGGGATTCTTTTTTTATTTAGCGTTTCTGGAAATAACTCTTGAGATCGGGACGATGAAAAGCTGCAAGTGCGAAATTTTCGTGTCTAAATATTTCCGGCCTGATCTCGTTGGAATAGAAACTTTCCTCCAAAGCAACAAATACAATTGCAACCTCGTTTGTTTCCTTAGAAGTAGGAAATCGCCACAGGTCTCGAGCTTGCGTGACTCAAACGGAGAAATTGTGTTATAATTATTTTCTATAAAAAAAGTACAAGATTTCATTTTTATTATTAGCGAAATGATGTTCAAAATGGAAATCAAAACTAAAATAAAGAAATTGATTTAATTAGTTAAAAAAAATCTTCCGATTTGATTTATTTTTTAATTCAGCAGGTTTTTGCTAAATTTTCAAAAGAAATTCCAATTTGAAAATGCCCAAAATTAGGAAATAAATGAAGTTTTTCAAATATCTTTAAAATAAATCTCCATAATTTCGTAATTTTTGAATTAATGAATAATTTCTTGCACCGGTCTTTATGCTTCAATTTCCACAACAATTAAGACGTCATAGGAAAATAATTTGGTGCAAACCGGATAATAAAATAAATATCGAAAAATTGGAGCGCGTTTTCACTTTTGTTCGGGGAGCGCGGCCGAGATTGAGAGACGAGTTTTTTTTCGCAACGCACTAGCCTCGGGTCGAAATATTGAATTATTTTTTGTATTCTTATTCATGACGCGGCGCAGAGTGGAATTAACCAACCCTTCCTTCAAGTATGGCTGGGCAGAGAAGGTCGTTCCTGCGCAATCCCTTCTTCACGCACTTTTAATCGTTTTATTTGCGCTCCATTTTTACTTCAAATAAGAAGTCGAAATTTATGCATTAATTGCGGAAATTGAGAGAATTAGAATTCGTGTCGAAACACTTTTTGCCTCGTCAAGGTCGCGCACACCATTTTTATGGCGTTAACGAGTCACGTACAAAAATCAAAAACCCAAACAAGAAGAATTTCCGCAAAATAAGATTAAATCAATTAAAAAGAAAAATTTGATATTCTAATTATGTAAATTTTCTGTATTTTCTTTAAATGAACTTTTGTAATTAAATTAACTTTTGAAACCAAAAGAGCAGGATCGTTTTCGTCTCTTGAGATAAGAATTGCAAAAGATTGGCCGCGGTTTCAAAAGTGAGATGCATTTTTGTGGTTTGCCTTTTCCTCTGACAAGAGCCTTGTAATAAATACCCAGATTGGGAAAACCGTAAAAATTCGGCCTGAATGATAAGTGGAAAAGAAATTTTAATGGGTCCGCGTCGTAAAATGAAAATTCGATTCCAAGCCGCGGGAGATTATTTGCGTTTTCAAGGAGTGATGCAAATTAATAATATAAAAAGATCCTCTGAAGTGATAATTATATGAGAATGAGGCTTTGGATTTATTACGCAGTAGAAAGTTATAAAAATTACTTAGGCATTTCAATATTGAAAACGGTAATTAAATTAATTAGACTTCAATCTGCACTGGTTTGGTACAATAATTGCTCAAAGAAGATGAAATTATTTATAAATCAGGTAAAAAAATATAACGTTTTCAAGCAGAGTGATTTTTATGGTTTAAAATAAAAATACCAATTAAATAAAAAGTAAAAATTATTATTCAAAAAAGAGACTTTCCAGTTTTTGGAAATATGTTGGATTTTTAATTTAAAATTTGAAAAATGGATAGAAATAATATCAAAATAACGATTTACATATTATTTATCATATTTTAAAATCTTTCTTCATTAAAAAAATCTTCAAATTTCGTTTAATTGCGGAAATTATTCTCAAATTTCTTATCAAATTAATCAAGACCTTCAGAGCAATTCTAATTGCAAAAGGATCTTACTTAGTTGTTTGTCAAAAGTTTAGAGACAAAATCTCGATTCAAATATTTACTGTGGGCTGTGAGGGTGTTTGTCGCTGGTTCAGGGCAATAAAAATTGAGTTTTTTTTCCGTACCTTTGGCGGCGTCGAAGGCGGAATTAGGCGTCGAGCGCGGCAACAATATCATGGCATGGCTCAAGAGCGGACTGCGAGCAAGAGTGGATCGAGCGAGTGCACATGGCGCGACTGTTGCTCGATCGGCTCCAGCGGAGAGATTTTTCTGCTCGGCGGCAGCGGCAACGGCGGCCTCGTTTGTAAATGAGCAGCGACTGAATAGTAATTGCGCCGTCGCCACTCCTAATGCACTTGCCACTGCGAATTCCATTGTTTCGAAATCGCCGATTGACAAACTCGCTCGCGCATCTTCATTCATTGCAAATTAATTCATATGCAATTTATGTTTAATTTAAACTAATTTTTTTCAACATTAAATCAAATCTTCTTAATTTGGATGCGATGAAAAGGTAAAAATAAAATTTTCATTTGGAAATATTTGAAATTTGAATTATCAATCTTGATTTTAAAATTGAGAAATAATTTCTTAGAAATTGATTAATCATTCCTGCTCCTTTTCATTTCACCTTAATTTAAGTAACAATTTGCAAAAGCCTCAAATTTCGCGCCAGGTGAATTAAAATTTGTATATTTTAGTGTTAATTTAAAATTATTTGAAATAAAATGGTACTTATTTCAAGGTTTTCTTCAATAAAAGGTAAAATTTTTGGTTTTTTTTACACTTTTGACGCAAATTTTGAGAAAAATATAAATCTAGAACAATTCTAAAAATTACTTGTGTAAAATTACACGAACTATTTACATTTCTTCCTATTCCTACGACAAAATCATCCCCAAAATTGGACTTTTTTACTAACAAAATCATAAAATCGCTTCAAAGTGACCTTGACCTTTGACCTACAGCTTTGGTGTCAACAGAAAACTTGTTCAGCATGAAAAAGTGAGTCGAAAGAAGAAATTTTTATCACTCTATAAGTCTATAGCACTTGAGCTTGAAGATTTATAAACGTTTTTAAATATTTCAAAATGCATTGCATGAGAAACGAAAAAAGTG